GTGTACATAACCCTTAAAATTTCCAAACCGTTATCATCGTGTAATTTTAAACAAAATATCCCCTAGCTACATACCAGGGTGGCGGTTGTTTGAAAAACCTTCTTTTGAATATGTGACGCAACAAAGGTGTCACGACAAGAACCTGATAATCTTGCAATATCATTATACTATTTTTGCACTTACTTCTTTCTTATCAGGTGTATTTAGTGCTTGAGTAATCTAATCTTATCTATTAATTAAAGAAAAGACCAATTAATTATATAACATGACATTATAGAGCCAACACCTTGCTTTTATACATATTTTTTTGTCATTTCGTTTTCTTACAAGTGCAAAATGTATTTCAAGAAGTCATGCTTGTTGTAATCTGATAGCATGAGATAATGAAATATCATTATATCTATGATATATATTATTAGTGAAATGATTAATGTAGTGATCATAGCACACTTACCTAGGTTAATTTGATATCAACTATCAGCGTTCATTTTTTGGCGTACATTTATAAAGAATAATAATTATATCGAAACATGTTATTTACTGCTGCTCTTAAGGCATTTCAACTATTTCATTGTAAGGATCGTTTTTTAAGAGAAAAAAATGAAGAAAAAGAACCAACCATGATTATATGGACTTTAAAGATATATTATGCCCAGATTTAAAATTTGAAAATACTTATAATTTCTTTACAATTTCTTTATAAATGTCAAATAAACAGCCTTTGAACACGCACACAGAAGATATGTTATATTTTGAATACCGGGTACTACACAATATAGGAAAACCCAGTATAAATACATTGTGTCATTACAAAAACTGGCAGTTGTTATTAAAAAAGACCCAATTAAATTGACCAGTTATAGGTAATGCAGCTTTCCAAAACATAGTTTGTGCATTCACTTATTTAAATTAGTCATATAGTAAGATTTTCCTACACTTAAATAAATTTCTATAATGAAAGTATTTTACATGCAAATGTGCATAGAATAGTTTAGAGAAAGTTATAGACAAAGACAAAGCCTGGTTGAGAAAAGGGCACGTGTATATATGCCTTCTCACTGACAGGACTCAAATCGGCATGGCCTACTACTGGCAAACATCTGTTTTAAAGAAGTGTCCAATGGTTTCTTCATTTCTGACGTAGGAAAAGAAAGGAAAGAAAATATAAACCAGTGAACAGAACTTTTCACTATTGAAGAGAATCATTAGATTTAATTCAATTGGAACATTTTAAAGAAAGCCACAATCATACTTCCCTCAAAAAAATTTTTTGCTTGCTAAAGGCCATTTATATGAGCCGATACCTTAAGCCTGTGGCACGCAACACTTAATTTAAATTCAAATTTGTGTTTACTATTTTTTATTGGCATGATATATTTGCTCATGTTATATGCAACAAATTTTATTCTATAATTGTTAATGCGAAATGATAGACATTTTCTTCCAGTTAAACCAATGATCCTGTTATTGCTGTCAATTTACTCATGGGCGCATAGCAATCTTTTTCTTTTCATATTTTTTTTTCCTTTATGATTCTCTTTAATCATGCAAAGTTGTAAAAAAAAGTATGTTCGCTAGTTTAAATTTCTCCTTCTGTATCTTACTTGGTGGTTTGATTGTGTCAGTGATAAAAAGTACTGGATGGTTCCAGGAACGGATTCGAGAGTGTTTCAATTACCTTATTGCTTCCAACACAATCGAACTAAAATAATTTCGTACTTAGATAAACCCAATCTTACGAGAAACGTCCCATTTCCAGCATTTGGATTATGACATTAATTCATACTTATTCTTTATAAATCAATAAAAAAAGTAATGTATCGAATGTAGTTTCACAACATAAGATTAGAATAAAATATTGAAGTCCTGAGTTCGTACTTTTCAGCAAGTTAAACACGAACACAGATAATTTAAAAATCATTTTGTGTCTACTAATTTTGCATAATTCCGATGACAACAAACATAAACTTGATCAAACATTGTAGGTTCAACACCCCCGTGCATTTGAACAGATGGACTGAAGTTGAGAAGTCCATAATGGATAAAGGTACATATGAGCTGACCACGCCCGAGCTTACGTATGGTGCCAAAACTGCCTGGAGAAATGCAGCAAGATGTATTGGCCGAATTCAGTGGTCAAAATTACAGGTATTATAGTATAAAACAAATAAAAAGAATGTCCGCATTCAATTTATATAATCATTTAGAAAATCTAATATTATTGATGAAAGTAATATTGTCCTGTGTTAGAGACGCCCTTTCTTTCTTGATCTTGTTAATAATATTTTGTGAAGGAAGCATATAAAAAATCAACGCAAAATAGTGATTTTTGGCAATTTTGAGATGTCCCCTCGTTGCCATGGTAACAGGAAATTTAAGTTTGAGCATGTTGTTGCCAAGGCAATGGTCCAGTCAACATTTGTGCCAAGTTTTATAAGTATTGAAGCAGTTTTTATAGCTTTATAGCAAGGGAGACTTTTCAATGAAAACAGTCATTTTTCACAAAATGCTCATAAGGGAAAGGGTTAATGAGATCGATGTAAAATGACATATTGTTATAATATTTATTTTGAATTATTTAGGTGTTCGATGCGAGACATATTACAACGGCAAGAGGGATGTTTGAGGCAATATGTAATCATATCAAATACGGAACAAACAAAGGCAATATCAGGTATGTAAATTAAATCACAATATGAATGATTGGTTACAACAAACATATCCATTTGCTGAAGGCGTATCGTTGTGAAAAATTGATGCATAGATACACTTTACATCTTTTAGGTCAATTCCATTTGTATCAATGAATAATGATTTTCATCATTGTTTAATATTTTTTCATCATTATGGCATGTGTTTTATCATTATTAGTTTTATTCATAATTGTATTTAATTACTTGTACAGAATGTTCGAAATAAAATATGTTTAAACAAAACAACCTCCTGAACTTGTGTAATGGATTTGCCATTTGAATTGAGAAGAGTGAATTACATTTTTAAGGTATTCAATATAAAATTACAATAATGGCTATTTACCGTATGAACCCTGAAAGCTAGTCGGATATGTATCATAAACTGGCTCTTTACTGTTAGCACAGGCGAATCCCTTGCGGTCACGTATGGTCAAGACTTTAAAAAGTATCTAAATTGCCATACTATAATATACTTTTGATGGCCATTGTTTTATATTTTCTGTTTTGATTATAAAATATTATATGATAAAACATGTTTTATGTCGTTAATTTAAAAGCATTTTGTCAAGATATTATAAATAATTTTGTTTGTAAAGATCGGCAATTACGGTGTTTCCTGCACGTACTGACGGGAAACATGATTTCCGAGTGTGGAACCAGCAGTTTATCAGATATGCCGGGTACAAGCAAGAAGATGGTTCCATCGTCGGAGATCCATCAAATGTAGAGCTCACCGAGGTAAGCAACAACAAAATTAACATGGTTAATCATTATACATGTATTATTATTTAAATTGATCGATGCTATAATTGTAATAGTTCAGATGTCATTAAAATAGAAATGAGAAACTTAGATTAATAATAAAAACCGTGTTCGATCGATTAAGTTATTTTACCAATTGAAAATTAAATTAATAATATAAGCATGAAAGATCTAACAACTTTGATTATTGCTTAATCGGATAACGAAAGAATACAACGTTTCTTAATACTTATTTGTCTTTTTTCCCTTTTTATTACAATGGATGACGACAACGCTTGTACATTAGATGATAAAACAGAATATAAAACGGTGATTTTAACTTCTCTTATTGTTTCTTTTATCATATGATTAATCATCACTTTTCGCTCGAGCAGGTATGTCAGAAACTGGGCTGGAAAGGTAAAGGTACAAGGTTCGATGTATTGCCCCTGATACTACAGGCAAACGGCCATGACCCAGAAATGTTTGAGATACCAGCTGACCTTATCCTAGAGGTCAATATTAAACATCCAAAGTAGGTGAATTCTTTTTAGTTTTGCGTTGATTCTAAATACATTTATAAGTCATCAAAGTCATGTTGATATTGTTGTATGGCCCAATAATTGTACTATTACATGCCTCAAAATATATAATGTATGTTACAAATCATCTATAGCAACGTCAGAATCCGCCTGCTGTCGTCGGAATCGCTTCTATATCATTGTTGGCAATAAAGAAGTAAGTATGGTCCGCTCAGCATTGGCACTTTAAACCATACACAATACATCAGCAAATAATTATACACAGTGTTTGTTAATATACATATAATTATTCTAATTTGTATTTTAACTACTACATAGGTTTCCGTGGTTTGTTGAAATGGGTTTGAAATGGTATGCCCTCCCAGCTGTCTCTAACATGGTGTTTGACTGTGGTGGGCTTCAATTCGTGGCCGCACCCTTTAATGGATGGTTTATGGGGACAGAGATAGGTGCCAGGGATTTGTGCGATCCCTTCAGATACAACTTGTTAGAGGTAACAAATACCAATATTATGTGTAAATCACAAGCACAATTTTTCTTTGGATGTTAGGCTCGGCAGAGCCTCGTTTCCAACTTAAGGGGGCAGGGGACCTAAAAATGAACAATTTTGTATTTCAGTGTGTCCAGAAACACAATTCCAAATATTTCAAAATCTGTTTCACAGGCAGATAACCAGTTGCACATCATTATTCAATGATATATGACATACATTGAAGAAAATAATAGTTTGCATGCATTGCTCCTTCAAAAAATGACTGACAGCAATTTATATTTACCCCCACCCAGCCAAAATCACACCTAAATATACCAATATGGGCAATCTTCATGAAGGTGCAGGATACTCCAGAATCCGCCCGATTCCTTTAAAAATATCAGTAACACGCAGTGCAAGCTATGGCATTTTAAATAACCAATTAAGTGTCTGTCATACGTTTAGATTTTTCACAAAATTTATCTGAAATTTCTTACTTGTTTGGCGCCAACTGTCAAAGCTTGATTTTTAACTTTTTCACCTCCATTCGGAGAGTCAGAAATACATACAAAGCTACCAAAATGCTTAGTTTCGGGTAAAACCCAAAAATACTTCTCATTTCCTACACACAAACAAGAAAGAATTACAATGACAGAGAAATATCAGAAGTTATCAGTACCTTCAAAACACCATGTCTGAGTTATTAAAAAATTTGACGGGGCCATCTTTCGAATATGTCCCCTGCCTAATTAAACATTTACTCTCGAACTTATCGCCTCTTAGCGGAAGTATACGGGAAGAGCCGATGTTTTGATAAGGTATTCCGCATGTACCGGAAGCTAGTGTAATGTTTACAAACAATCGCAACTTTTCGGCCCTTTCCGACAGTCTGCGGATGAATGCTAGCCGAGGACGTTCTGATTTGTAAATGACTAAATAAACAATTGTAAAGTAAATCAAAGAAATAAAAAAGTAGTACAATATGTTATACTACAAATTCATTTTAATAGCTTTTGACATTACTTTTAAATATCAAAATTGAAGAAATTAACTAGATGAGTTGGTTTGACATTTTGTTCTTTTGATTCCGCCTCAAATGTGCACTCTCCCATGTGAATATGTATTTTCCACGTTAAGATAATTATGCAAATTTCATGTTTTATAGCATATTTAATGTGAATTAAGCTGATAATGTCTTCTTTTAAATTTAAATTAAATTATGTTTTGCTAGTTCATTGTACGATTCTGACATCTACTAAATTTCTATTACTCATACTTGTTCGAATTTTAAGAGTCAATTATAAACTACCTGAATCCTTTTCGATGTTCATTATTCACAAAACAAAAAAACTGATTTTATTTACAGGACATTGCAAAAAGAATGGGTTTTGATACTCGCAAGAGCTCCTCCTTGTGGAAAGACCGCACTCTGGTGGAAATTAATATAGCAGTTTTATACAGCTATCAGGTCTAAATCAACTTTTTATTTCTCACTGTCCTTCTCTCAATGTACAAGTATTATATTTAAAGTAATTATTATAGTTCGGTAATGATCAAAACTGGAAGCTATTTTGAGCCACCCACTCCTGAGGCCAGTCAGCTTTCTGATTCTAACCAGTTCTGGTATCAAATACGGAGAAATACTCCATTATGAAACACTGATTTTGAACGTGTATTATAATATGCGTATTATTAAACAGATACAACGTCTCTTATAACTCTGTAAAGAGTGACAATGTGCATTTTAATATGTTTAAATATGCTTGTTTTTATCTTCACATTGATGAGACTATAATAAAGAATAAAATAATATACATGTACGTGGAAACGTGGTCGGTTTACCAGTAAGGACGCCGCACCACTACCACTATATTCTACTTACATTATTTCAAAAGTATTAGATATAATTTATTTTTGCATCATAATTACGAACGTTTTATTGCATTTATCTTGATTTCAAGGCAGTTTGGTTAAGAGCACAAAATCGAAATGTAAAGATATTGTAAATATTAATATATTTTGATAATTTCGACTCATGTTTTATATCACAAAAAGTATTATAATTTAATAAGATACACTCTTCTTTCTGTATCAGAAAGCGCTCATTAAATTTGATTTAATGATTCACAATAAAACATAGTGAATTAAAGTGTCACAAGTATTGTAAATGTAAGTGACACTTAAAACCGCAGATAAATACAAATATTTACATTATCATTGACGTTTATGATAATTCATATAAAGAGTTGGACGACATTTTAATTTAAGTAACAACTTTATATGTTATATTATATAATCCACGCGTAGACTAAAAAAACAGTATGAAATGATATTTATGATACAACTGTATATCATTTATAAAACACACATAGAGTAGTAGTATTTCTGCTCGTAAGAATATCATTTCTTCGCTTTATTTATACTAAAATCCATTTTAAGTTCTAAAATTTCGAACTTCAAGTATTGAGTATTATAACTGATATGCATTACTATGGTAGCTGATTTCTGCCATTTCGTGTCTTCGTGTCTTTGCCTCTCCAAAGTCGAAGGCGAAGACACGAAGACGATAATATGTTCATTTATCGTATTTTCACTAAGCCACGATAGATTTTAGATGAAATATAAATGGTTTAATGGCAAAGACACGAGATCTTCTTCTGTAGAATTATCGTGTTAGCGGGCAGAAATCTTCGTATCGGCGCCTTATATTTGCCGTGTCGTAGTGTGATCGCCTTAAAACGTGAAAGTCGAAGATTATTGGCTAATTTTGAGGGGCGAAGATGCGAAAAAACACGAAATGGCAGAAATCAGCCACCATACATTACCATTTTGCGTTTCTTAGATATTACTTGTAGATGATATATAACTTGTATTTATTAACTTGATTTCAAACCATATTGTTCGGTTATACAGTCGCAAGGTGTCACAATCACCGATCACCACGCAGCTTCGGAATCGTTTATGAAGCATCTTGACAATGAACAGAAGTTGAGAGGTGGTTGTCCAGCAGATTGGGTATGGGTCGTGCCGCCAATGAGTGCCAGCATACTGCCTGTGTTCCACCAGGAAATGTTATGTTACAAGTTGAAACCCTCACTGGAATATCAGGTTTGATATTTATGTGTTGACTGTTGTTACAAACTAGAATATCAGGTTTCGTTTCGGGCACATGCATTCTTTTTTCTTGGGCTAACACGTTATCATGGAATGGCACTTAAGTATCACATTGAACTACACTAACATTTCACACTTAATTTTCAATGCTTACTGCCGTATGAACACATCCGCAGATGTTTCTAAATTTAAAATGTCACCAAATATCTGTTTAATTCTTAAATTTTGGTTAAGCCGGTGCTAGGGGGACGTAGACGGCAAATTGCGCTTACCGCTATCGTCCATAAACAGGCACAATAAAACCGAGCCTTTTTCGGCGTCATATGACCTAAATTGTGTAAGTGCACCGTGAAACAAACAAAAAAAAAACAAAAAAAACAACAACAACAAAAAAAAGAGAAAAAAAGGAAAACGAAAAAACAGGGGAAAAAATCCTCTTTTTATATAAGATGGTGTTGAAACTGAGATCAAGGTTTTATCTCAGGCTATCGTGACCACTGTCCATCCATCTAGCGTCATTCTCTTGTCTGTCATTGAACAGATCACGTGGTTCGCTGCATTTGTCTTTGGTATTTCCTTCTGAAAAGACAACTTTTAAAACACAATAAAGACACTACTTTTAATGAATACTAATGTGAATTTTGTTTGTTCCCGTAGTCTTGTTAGTATACGTAAATTATTGTCGGAAATTTTATCGTTACCGTTCAGTTGTAAAACAAATGCCAACTTGATAATAAAGCATGCGTGCGATGATTTCAAACTGTTACGTCAAGCATAAAGTATTTATTTTGACGTGGAATATGTACCACATACAGTTTCAAACATTTAGAAATGTGATTTGCGTTCTAAATAATTAGTCTGCGAGTACTAAGAAGGCGTAATTAGTACTAATTGTAATAATTAACGCTCGGAAAGAAATTACGTATATCATAAATATTCCATTGTTCTTGTTCTATAGACGGATGCGTGGAAGACCCATGTCTGGAAGAAAGACAAAGAAAGGACAAGGTCAACGTCTGACAGACCGAGAAGAAAGATTGGGTTTAGGGAACTTGCAAGGTAAGCAGTTCAACCATAAAGAGCTTTAGGTTCTAAGTCATTTATTTTCCTCGTCTTTAGATTGATGTAGGTCGGGGAAGACTTCCTAATAATACCATAAAGAACGTGCAATAATGATAGTGGCTAATTTAAGCCTTGTATTTTTCGATCCGCTGGGCGACAGACGATAACAAGAATCAACGACAAAGTAACCACTTATTCGTATTTTCGTGTTTTCGTCCGGTGCCACGCGGAGCGACAGTAAGGCATGGCACAAACCAGCCACCATAAAAAGTTCAAATACAGTGTTTGGAATGATTAAGATAAGTCATTTGCTAAATATTTCATTAGATTCATGTGCGTCAAAATATTGTGTTAACATGGTATTTCTCCAGACACTATCCCAGTGATTGATGTGGAATGTCTATTACAGAATATTTAACTTATTGTTGCTATTTTTGGAAACAATTTTGTCCGTCCTATATCATAGAAAAATCGGATCTATGTCTGCCTATAAAAGAGTAAAAAATTAATCGAAGTTTACCTAAATATGAATCTATGATAATGTCTGACTCTAATATACTGTAGTAGAAAAAGTAAGTTTAGAATAAAATATAAGAAAAACAGTTGAAGACTTTTTTATAATCTATTTTTATTATTATACTTATAAACGTAGTTTTGCTCATGGCTACATTATTGTATTGAATTGTTTTATCTTCAGGGCCGTAAAGTTTTCTGCTAAATTGATGGGAAAAGCTTTGGCAAGAAGGGTGAAGTGTGTGATTTTGTACGCGACAGAAACAGGCAAATCAGAGGGATTTGCAAAAACATTGTGTCAGCTGTTCAGACATGCCTTTGATGCAAAGGTACTTTTTAAAACTATACATTTTACACAAAAAGTCATGACACCTCATTGTCTTCTAGTTATATAGTATGAAATACATGGTAGAATTAAGGATAAAGAAAAATAGAAATCATGAATATTTTGAAAAGATAAGAAATATGTATGATATGACAGTAAAGAAATGATTTAAAAGACTCCACTCAGATTTTCTGAAATGAAAGAAATTGGAATTTATGTCCAAAACTTGTGTGCCATTTGTAGTAGGTCTAGACTTATAACTTGTGTGCACATTTTCAGATCTTTCCCTGACTCCATTTTCACAGAATAACTATTTTCATTGTGCGAAATGGCCAAACATATAAAGCCTTACAACGCTTTGCATTCAAAAAAGTGGCTAAAAATCGTGCAAAAAAAACCTAAAAAAAGGATTTTCGCATGTTTTTGCAGATATTTCCATTTTACATGCATCACTTAATCTATGCACATATTTGAAACTTTATGTGATTAGGCTTTTTGACGGATGCTCTCAAATACTTAACATTTGGAGCTTTAAAACACTTATGTACTGGTACATAATTTTGCATCATAAGATTGATTTACAAAGAGAAATGTACAAATTTTATTCTCTTTTCTACTGAATTTCAGGTAATGTGCATGACAGAATATGATGTTAGTGAACTTGAACATGAAGCTCTAGTCCTCATTGTAACAAGTACATTTGGAAACGGTGATCCACCTGAAAATGGCGAGGTAAAATGAACAATAAAAATTAAACTAAGATGATATCATTACTGGCCCAACAAAATGTCCGAAATTGCATGCTTAATATCTTTCAATTTAGAGTCAATTATTCAAAAAACTATAACCAACACCACCGTCACCAAATTACGAACTCAATTTTCATATGAAAAATGTGAAATTGATGAATAAATTCAATTTAGAGTCAGAACCACTGCCAATAACTATTTGAGCAACTGCGACATATACAATTATGAAATTTCTTTTGTTAACGAACTTTGTACTAGTATAGCAAAAACTCATTTTAGTAAAGAGTCTTACAAACATTTATATAATCCCTACAAGTGTATACTAAACCAAAAACAAAAAACAAAAAACAAAAAAACAACAAAGCAGTCAACTATACAATACGTAAACAAATTTGATTATAATTATGCATTTATGTTAACATGTCCGATTTTTATACAAATTTTATGACTTACAGACCTTTGCTAAACACCTGTTTGAAGCCAAACATCCTGACGTAAAAGACAAGTAAGTAACATTTAATGATGATGAGGACGATGATGATGATGAGATCTTTAATGGTTTCATTTAATTAGAAATCTAAGAAACATGTATATGTATAAATATTCTCAATGAGAATACAATGTCTTCATTGCTGTAATCTGTAAAATGATCTTTGCCAAGATTAAACATATATGAGCCGCGTCACGACAAAACCAACATAATGGGTTTGCGGCCAGCATGGATCCAGACCAGCCTGCGCCTCCGCGCAGTCTGACCAGGATCCATGCTGTTCGCTTACAAACCCTATTACAAGTAGAGAAACTGATAGCGAACAGCATGGATCCTGATCACACTGCGCGGCTACGCAGGCTGGTCTGGATCCATGCTGGTCGCAAACCCACTATGTTGGTTTTGTCATGGCGCGGCTCATATATGTTTATACATTTCAACACCCTATAAGGGTATTTTCGAATAGGGTACCAAAGCCTGAATAACATAACAATCAGAGTGAAATATATACGCATGACCAAAAAAATAAGAAGTATATGCCTATCAAATACGAAGATTTTTAAAGATTAATCAATGTGTTTAAGCAAACTGACATTATGTTATGATACAGGTTAAACAAGCAGACGTCTTACCTACGTATGAGCGGTGTTTCCTATGACGAAGATGACAGCATGTCCAGTGATAAAGATAATTCAACATCTGACACTTCAGTATCAGAAGACAATCTTACAATGGAAACTGGGCCCCTTAGTAACGTGAGGTATGTAACTGTCGGAAGCAATAACATATGCGTATATACATTAAAAAAATCTGAATTTTTTTTTATCAGAACCGAACAAAATCGGTATTTTACAATGGTTTAATTGAAACGTTTCTTAGACATTGCCCATTTATGCCCGCAAGACTCAATCGGGGTATAGCATTAGATAAGTTATTCAGTGGTCACTGGTTCCATCCTCTGGTAAGCCGTAATTTCTCTTCGGGCATTTAGTCAAATGGTCATTTGTCTCTCACTACAGATTAAAAAAAATATGTTGGATTAGTAGTAAGACACTTGCTAAGGAAGAAGTAAAAGTAAAATAATGGTCGGTTATCCAATAAAGTCGATAAGGTAGGTCGACGTCGAGACCGGTTCGAGCGCGAGACTTGTAATTTCGACATTTTGGGTTCGATTCCCGGGCTGACCAACTAAAATAACAAATCAGTCTCTCGGATGAGACTTTAAATCAAGGCCCTTGAATTGGGGCATCTCTCTGTATCTGTATCTTGCACTATCCTCCAAAATGTAAAAAAAAATGTGTAAAAATTTGGCGTATAAGAAACAAACAAACCATTGAAAAAGAACAGTGATAGAAAGGGGTTATATTTTTTGCAGATATTCCGTGTTTGGCCTTGGTTCAAGTGCTTATCCGAACTTTTGTGCCTTTGCACATTACGTGGACAATATTTTAAATGATCTTGGTGCAGAAAAGATTTACAAGACAATGGAAGGAGATGAATTGTGCGGACAAGAGGAATCGTTCAAAAACTGGGCTAAAGACGTGTTTCAGGTATACAAACAAATATAACAATACAAATAAAAAATACTGTTATATAGAAGTGCGTTTTGATTAAACGCGTTTAAATTAGTTTTAACATTTTCTTGCCCTCTTTAAGGAATTGAGACAAAAATAAAATAAATTCAGTTTTAACTGTTTTAAAACTTACATAAGTTCTAAACATATCAATAAGCCACTTTTCTTTAGTTTCAAAAAGCTTTGCAAAAGATCTATTAAACAGTAATGCCTTTCCTACCAAATTTATATGTAAGCAATCATATTCCTGAGTAACAAAATGTATAGTTATTTCATTCATGTTTTCTTAATCATCTAGGCGGCTTGTGAGACATTTTGCACAGGAGATGACCGCGCGATGCAGGACGCTGCCGGAACGTTGACCACAACTGACCATTCATGGAAACCTGACACGTTCCGCGTGACACCAGCTGCTGCCGAGAAGAAATTCAATGTCATTTCAGGTAATGATTATCTCAGAAGTGAATTAAGTTTACTGCCCATATTATACTTAATGATGACGTCTGTATCATTTATATATCATTAAGTGATCAAATGACTTGATGATAAATAATGATAAATGATCAAAACAAATGAAAAAGCAACATGATAATATGTAAATAGTTATAATAATAATAAAAAAGATTTTATACATAGTTTCTGATATTAAAAGGGTTTTAGCTGAATAAATAATTGTATTTGACAAACTTTGGCGATGCCCGGTAGCATTAAACGTATATTACATGTTAAGTCGTTATATACTTATAGACACACATTTATACATTGGACCATTGCCTATTACTTTAAATTAATATATACAGGACAAAATTATTGTTAGATTAAAGATATACTATGCTCATCTTTGAGAAAAATACTTAAATTTCAGAAATTTACTGAACAAAGACTAGAAATTTCTAAATAATTATATGAATAAGAGAATGCACAAACAATGTTTCGTTATAATGGTCATTTAAATTTGGTACTTTCTTTAACAGACTAATATAGTGTGCAGTTTAAAACGTAACATATCTTTGCCAAAAATATTCATTTTAAATTTAAAGAGAGTCTGTATAGCAATTGCATGTATATTCAAATATCAAGTTTGAGCATAATATATCCTTAAAGACATGGGTTTATGATTTCTTATAAAGCCTACATGTACTTTAAATATACATATTACATTACAGCATTGTCAGCAGTACATAACAAGAATGTAATCCCATGTAAATTTCTGGAACGGACACAATTACAATCAACAGAATCGGAGTAAGTTAAATTGACCAATTTACAAAAACATTAACACTTATACCGATAATTATAGTATAATTGTAAGTATAATTGCAAGAATCAATCATTTTGCGAAAACGCTGTTTTAAAAGTGCTTTCTCACAAAGGCACCTGTTATTTACCGTAAGGTAGCTGTAATATTTAGAGCTTTTTCCCTTCTAAAGCAAGAGCGGAATACCTTTAGATTAAGTATATTTTCAGCCGGTATTATTGATTCAAGTACGTCCTTGACCAAGGGGTTATGGTCGAGGATTTCGAACAACTAGCTCCTCCCCTCGCGTATGTTGGTTCGAATCTGAAGATAGACTTTGGATTCTTTCGTGTGAGGATGTTGTAAAAAGCTCTTAAGCTAGCTTACGGAACGTCGATGTTTCTTCTACCCGGGTATCCGTTCGTGCTTGAAATTATGTACGAAGGGGCACCGGAGGTGTTCCTCCACCAGGAAATCTTTTGAAGTCGACATTCGACATTTACAGCGTTGGAGCGACGCAGAACCAACTCAACCAGTGCTTTTAAATTGACGATGAAAAAATGTTTTCTTGGATATCCATGGCTCCTTTTCCCCACATTTTTTGTTAAAAAATGAAACATTCTTTAATTGTTTTCAACGGCATCCGAGAATAAAAACTTTATGTTTTTGTCTTACAGTCGGCAAACCATGCTTATCAAAATTGACACAACCAATGGCTCTGGAGAAATGCTCTACCAGCCAGGTGACCATGCTGCGATATACCCACAAAACTCCGAGAAGTTGGTAGATGCTATTCTAATCCGGCTTCATAACGCCCCACCTCCTGACCAATTTATAAAGATTGAAGTATTAACTGAACGATCTACACCATTAGGTAATACTTTTATATAAGGTTTTCAATTACATGTATTTATGTACAGCTATTAAATAAAATGAGTTGAGTTATCAAATAATGTTTAGACGATCTAGACCTGAAAGATGCCCATGAGAAATAGAAGTTGAAAAAGCCACGAGAGGTAAAAATACAAAGTGATTTTTAAATAAAGGTACATGTATATCGTATATAGATCTAAATAAAATATTTGAAAATATTTGTAGTAATAACTTAAAGCAGCATAAATCTAGATCCATGCTAAATTACATGAAAAATTTGAAAATGTATTTAAAAGTAAAATATTGTGAAGTGAACAAAGAAAGAAATTTACATATTGCAAACGGCACTTACAATCTTCTAAAATCACCAAGATGTATAGTATGCAAAAATAACCCTTACTGCGTTAGTCACGCAGTAGAAATATGCAAATAAATACTGTAAAATCAGTAATCAATCGCACCTAACATGTAAATTATTACTTAAATCAAAGGTCTGTTTACTTTTCTTAAAATCTTAGTGTATTTTTCTCATGTTTGATTTTCTTGAAATATTTTGACTTATCTTGAGGCATGCGGCTTTAAGTTTACTGTCTAGATAATAAAAATAACACATCTGGTGCGTAATGTATTCAGTGTCATTTACTTTATTTAGGTTCGATGAAATCTTGGGATCCTTTTACAAAGCTTCCATCATGTACACTTAGGACTGCTTTTTCAAGATTCCTTGACATCACGACGCCTCCAACACAGACGCTGTTAAAGATATTCGCCACACAGGCAACCAAAGAGTGTGATCGAGAAAGTCTAGAAAATTTAGCAAATGTAAGGAACACAGTCTAGTTACTTTGTTTTCATCTTTTACTTTATAGCTTTAAAAAAACTAGTGTCAAGTATATAATCTGTTAAAGATGTATATGTATGCCGTTTTTGAACCTGTCAAATGCAACAAAATCTGCACTTTTTTCATGTTTTTACTCATTGCTTTTACAGTTTTGATAATTACAATAACTTTTAGATTTTTAAGAGTTTCTTTATTCTAAATTGATTGAAAATACATTAAAAGCGCTTGGAAACGTTTTACAGCGCCTTTGACTATTTCCCGCCACATTTGTAAAATCTCGGCCGATTTCGGAAAACGACCGTAAAACTTACTCGCATTGATTTATTTCATTTTTAAAATCAAGTTAATTTAATACAAAAATATCGCCGACATTTTTTATTAAACCAAATGATATACCTATAGAGTGGAATATATACGAGTGGGAGAGTATAACCGCTCACACATTCCTAGTGTATGGAATGTCACGTGATTTCCTCCTAATATGACATCGCCAGTGATTTATTGCACGCCATACAGTATCACAAATAGAAAACATATAACCAATATATCTCTTTTTTCAGGATTCCCACATGTATGAGGAATGGAAATATGAATCTTACCCGAACATTGTACAAGTGTTGGACCAGTTTCCTTCCCTCAGAATTCCACCATCACTTTTGTTGACACAACTCCCCTTGTTGACTGCAAGGTTCTACAGTATCAGTTCATCATTGAAGCTATATCCAGGAGAAATACATGCAACTGTTGCTGTCGTCAAGTACAGAACCCAAGGTATAAATTTAGCAGTACTCGCAATACTATAGATGCTTGGCAGAAATCATGATCTCAAGTAGAAAAATATCGCTTTTTTTCGGCGATTCTTACATTTCCATTCATCATCGTATATAAATCGGTGTGAGAACATGAATTAGCCTAGCCGTCTTAAAGTGCTTTTCGGCGGGTGAAAAGGCGAGGTTTTAGCAATTAATCATTCAAGCGCCATGTCCGGTACATACTGGAATACGGTGATGCACCAACACATTTTTTAGTCTCGCTCATATAATTATACCAATTGGTAGCCAACATTGTAGATACGGCAACACTTTGAAACCTTTTCTTGAAACTAAACATGTTATTTCGCGAAACTTTTCATGAACAATCAAAAACAAATATCTTGCAAATTTGATTTGTACTTTAAACTGGCTTATCAAACCATCTAAGTTTTATGAAAGTAGGCACTTTTTGTACGCGACAATTTTCATTTACGTATTAAGTTAACTACTAGTAGTTTCTTAAAAAATTCTTAACTGGCATCAAAGAAATATATAATTTTCATAAAACTTTTTATTCAAAACTAACCATAAAAATCTGACAGGGGTTGTAATGAAGGCGAGTATATGCTTCCATATTTTTTAATTACTATTATTTTATTTCGTTTGTTCATCTATTGTTCGCAATTAAGTATTTTTATTAAGTTCTTTTAAGATTTTTGTATAACATGTTGACCAAATGCAATCATAAGTTTTGTAAGATTTATTGCATTAATTTCTTCAATGTTAATGGAATGCAAACATCATAGCATATATCATGTTTTCCTTTGGCGCAATAGAGATACAAAATCACCAGCGTCTGGATAAATTGTTACTCATAAAACTTTTAGATGCACCAAAAAGTATGTTATACAGCATCACAAAAGAACTGTATTATATTTTTATATTAATTGTTAGACCTTCATAATGGTTAGGCGAAATTAATAATAATTCCCTAGTAAATGCGCCAAAGACTCGTCAAGTTCTATATTTTGTGTCGTAGCAAAATCGCATTAATTTCAGATAAATATGTAGTTATTAAATAACAAATTTTTCATTTATGTACAGGTAACAATGGTCCATTACACGAAGGTGTATGTTCAAATTGGCTAAATAGACTGGAAGTTGGGGATACAATTCCATGCATTGTTCGACAGTAAGTGATTTTACTAATTCGTTTGCAATATTTAATCTAATCTAATAGTCTAATCAGTAAACTACCAAAGTTTATTACCAAATACTCGTCTATTATCATTTAATTTTAGTTTGATACTTTAAACTATAATTTCCATTGTGGTTGGTATCTATTCATAGTGATATATTATCATATATGTAACAAATCTCCAGAAACATAAGAATTGATTGAAATGTTACAGTAATATATGTTCACATTTAACTTCACTACATCGAGTTTAAATTTGGTTTACTCAACTCAACTCAAATACATGTTATTTTATTGGCATAACACGTTTAAACAAAAAATTGCGCATTGCTCTTATAACGCTGATCTTCAAAAAATTCTTTGTAATATAAAAAAGGTCCTTATTTCTATTGGCTTAATATTAACCTTTTGTTACCATTAAAGCGCTCCAGCGTTCCACATGCCGGATGATCCGACAGTACCGATTATTCTGGTCGGACCTGGAACAGGCATAGCTCCTTTTAGGAGTTTTTGGCAACAAAGGAAAATCGACATGGAAATGCTTCCTGTCCCCATACGTAAGCAATGTTTTCTTAGCAAATATATATTCATACGTTTCATGTTTATTTATGATGTATTTATGATGTATTTCAAATTTATGTTTACGTTGATAACAACAAAGAGATTCTAATATACATGGACACATTGTATTGCATATTATTTATTTTACAATTATTATTTATTGTTACATATTATTTTCTTACATATTATTTTGCTTATTCTCATTATGATAATTCTGCGAGTAATTAAAATATCAACAACAAACAATAAAAAAAACAACAAACGCGGAACTGATAGTAAAAATGTATGCTTAATAATGAACACGTAGAATAATAAGATGTTGCTACTTTTACAGGAGGTACAAGAAAGGGTTGGGGTAAGATATACCTTTATTTTGGATGTCGTAATTCTGATATGGACGATATCTACAAGAACGAGTTGAAGCAGATGAAGAATGAAGGTGTTTTAACAGAGGTTAACACTGCTTTATCAAGAGAGCCAGATACACCAAAGGTAAAATATTCACTAGACGTCTTTCTTAATCTGACTATGCCATTATGTTTAGTGTTGAGGATTGAATAATGCTTAAACCGGTGCCAGGGAGCATGTTAGATGATGCACTTTTCATTATCTCTCAAGAACAGATTCGATTAAAACGATTCTGTAATTTTATCATTTTGTCTTTGTTTTCAGTGCTCCCCAGGGATCATCACTTTTCCAAATTTTTACATGGCATCTAACATTAAATATCTAGCGTACATAAATATATATAAATCAATTTAAAGATCATAATTTTTGAAAGAATTATACACAAAACTTAATTAAAGTAATCATATGTATTTTGTCTAAAACTAAATTATTGAGGCATATGTAAAAATGTAATGATTAGGCCTTAAGACGTTTTATCCATTGACAATATATTAGTGAAGACATTGTCACTTCAATTTTAAGTATTGGTAGTAGATAACAGCTCAAAATCTGTAAACGCCTATTTTTGTTAAATTGACTTTTTATGTAATACAAAAAATACAATACAATACAATACAATATATTACAATATAATGAAATGCAATGCAATGTTATAGGCATGTAATTCTTTCATCTGAACCATTAAATAAAACTCATCCGGACAATGGAGATATTGACTGTGCTGGGTTTACCATCACAACATTTGTTTGCACCCACTCTGAACGACTTTACAATTTTCCCTTTTATGCTTCTATTTACTTCATTTGATTTGTCTTAAGTAATTCTATACTTAATCTTTTATATGTCTGTTGGCAAAAAAAATGTTATGTTCACTTTAACTGAATCGCCATATTTCGTAATATGTGCATCAAAACCAGTGTTTTCTGCTTATCCTGTGTTAAACTTCTACAAAAACAAATATTTCATTACAGACATACGTGCAGACGATCCTTAAACAAAACACTGTTGAAGTGTTTAACTGTATAGTGAAGGAAGGAGGACATTTTTATGTGTGCGGAGATGTTAAAATGGCATCAGATGTGACAGCTACTCTAGAGAAGATACTGTCAACACAAGGGGATATGACCATGCAAGATGCCAAAAATTTCATTATGAAATTAAGGGTATGCCTTTATTTTTAACCTTCATATTTTCTGCTTTACGAAATACAATACATATTGCATTTTCTCGGAGATATTTTGACTATTTTTAATATCAATACAAATTTTCATTCAGCCCTATTCATTATAGTTTAAGGCCCAATTATGTCCCAGAAATGCATTACTTTCTTATTTTTCTTAAGCTTTTTATTTTTGATGTCCTGCTTTAGTTTCTAAAAGGAACCATCTTTTGCCTGTGTTGCCTTTTTTCAGATAGTACAAGTACAGTGATTAAGTATTTTGTATGAAAGTCAAAATACTACTTTGTTTATGTTTTGCTACTTTCATGACAAATAATTTTACAGTCAGGGCGTTTTCTTTCAGTTGATAACCATCTAACATGCTCATAATTAATTATTTAAACGCTATAAAACTAATGTGTGCCCTTTCTAAAGATGGTAGTAAGGTATTCATTTCCGAGGTATAAAGTGTCTCTAATCATTTTTTAAAAAAAGATACCATCTATACTTTGTAGGATAGCAACCGATTCCACGAGGACATATTTGGAGTAACACTGAGAAGTTCTGAAGTGACCGACAGGGCACGTGACCAAGCTAAAAAAGCGTGGAATTACATCAACTCGGCTGGTAAAACACGGATGAGCATTGAAAAGGAAACAGTAGCACCTATTCCGTCTGGCGTAAGTTGTTCATTTTTATCCATAATCTGCTGGAACCGAAAGTGATTAGCTTTTTGTCACCAGTGCAGTCAGGCTAGGCTGCACGTGCACGCAGTGGCCATTATTAACTCGATGTTTGTATTTTATACTAAAATTCCTTAAACTTTTAACAAACTGTTCCGAATTCAAAGCTAAGGAAAGATCATTTATACCAGTTTAGGAGGTTAATAGTTCCCAAAAATAAAACAAACAAAAACTGAATTCTAGCGACGGCGATTATTGCAATAACAACGAATATTTAACATATTTGCATAATTCAAAGAATTTCTCAGAAACTTACCTTACACAATGTTTGAGACATATATACTATATAAGTCCTTGTATGTTATTCTGTTCTCGTACTAGTCAAGGTATACAAAGATAATAAGCATTTTGTACTTTAACTAAGGTATATATATTTAGTTTCATTTATTTTTCAGGAAACAAAAGCACCAAAGGGAAAGCCCAAGGCCCCTAGAAAAACTATGTATAATCAAGATTCGTAGACAAAAGGCACTATTACCTTTATGCCTTAATTTCTAATACATATAAAACAAAGCTTTAAAAATAATTTTAACACCCTTTAAGATAGAGAAAGTATGTAAGAAGATGTTGATAATACCATATTAGACAATCATGATATTTACTTATAAAAAGTATGAACTAATATATGTAAAAGCTTACTTACAGAAACGCTTTATTCGTTTGAAAAAATACATGTCATGCTTACTTGATTATGTTGTGAAGGGGAAGCTTTTAAATAAGTAATCAAATAAAATATGTGCACTGTTTATATGTAATAGCATATTTTGCTTTTATTAAACGTTTATAAATTGATATACATTAAACATTTATTGTACTGTCTTTCACCAGTGAAGGACAATTATTTTGTATACTATTCTAGATGTACTTATACAATTGTTTAATTTCCTTTTGCAATATTTTAAATACAATTTCTGTGTCGGTTTTTACAATGAAAGCATCATTGTACGGGCACGTTCCATTAGCTTACCCTTTTACGTTTATCTGCACCAAAAGGACAATTAAAATGTGTTGTTTGAATGTAATTGTAATTTTAGATAATGTAGCATTTTCCTCTCACGTAATTGTAATTGTTTCCTCTTATGTAAGGTATAATACCTTACACTTGTCAAAGGTCAAAGACAAACACCTTCTATCACTGTACATAACGTAGTGACCACATGTTTTATTTTATAATATCTATATATTGACTGCAACTGTAACGTTTTGTCCGAAAATACGGCACGCACAATCGATCTAAATCAATCAATTGTTTAACCTTGACCTTGATTAATGGACTTTACCTTGCTTGGAGTTTGGCACAGTCTATCATTAAGGCGGGGAATGCAGATATAAGTGATATTTAAGATTAATAACCAATGGTTTAAGGGTCTGATCACACTTTGTTCTAATTCCAATTAATGTCATATCTACTGTAGAGACAGAGATTAAATAAATAGCATTACAACCGTTATACGTGTATGTGGTAATAAAATATTAACTTTAAATTTGCATTACGAATAACGAGAACGAGTTTTTTTATGGCAGATTCAAATGCATTTTGAATTATTATTTATTTATTCATGCTTTATAAATATCATTTAGTATTTTTCAATGGTAAACAAATTTTTAGTATTATAAATCATTATTCATAGAGCATTGACGTTTGATTTTTTATTCTATAAAAGCAATAACCCTAAAGCAATATAGACATTTTTTACAACCGTATCAACATTTTCATTTCTATTCTACAGTCCTTTTGGATAAATTATTTTTCATATTTGTCATATAATACATCTAAGGTTCGTTTTTTGACTAACATATTTCAAATAATGTTAATGCACTTTGAAATGTGTTTTACATGTACTCTATTCAAATAGTGTTAATATACCGTATAAAACTTTGCAAAGCAACACCCTTTTTAGGGTCAATTAAGGAGTTTGGTTGTTTTTGAGAGGTGTTGTTTTTGAGAGGTGTTGTTTTTGAGAGGTTGAATTCAGTTACACATATTGTTGCTTGTGATTTGTGATTAATCTTTCCGATATTTTTTTTTCAATCGCCCACAACACATGTATAGAATTTTGTTGAGGATCCTCAGGTGTCCTTATAACATTATTTCAGAAATGAAAGGGAAACCTGAGTAGAACGAACCGACGTTCGTAAGCGATGCTGGATAGCTTCCTCACATGTAAGAATCTAAAAAAAGTCCCTGTCGGTATTCGAGCCTACAGCGTTGAGGGGAATGAAAGAAATTCAATCATGTTCTTTCTATGTTATGCCTCTCAAATACGATACAATTTTGAAATTGTGAATCTGTTTGGATTTTATTAAAAGTAGTTCGTTAACACATTTTTTTAATACATGAGTACTTTTTCTTTTGTTTACCTGTTCCATACGTTCTGTAAGAATGAATAGTTATACTTTGATTATATACATGTGTAAGTGTTTACAAAATTTTGTTATTTATTTCATAGCATTTAATAAATTTGAATGAACTTTGTCGATTATCAGCGTTTATGTATTTTGTGCATATCAATTAATATTGAACAATGTTTTGTTTTTCCTTAAACATTTACATCTGAGATCTAAAAAGTATTTGCATTCTCATCTGTGTATATGTATATTTTGTACTTTATTCTCATACAGTCGTGGAACATATCTGTTTACATATTCCTGACACTTTGCATACTGGGATCAGCCGCAATACTAGCCAAGACGAGACATGGGGGGGGGGGTACATAAGTGTCTTGTCCGCTAGATCAAGCTGTTTGACAGCCATTCTTTACTGTTTCTTTCAATTCGGATAAATTGGAAATCAAAAAATTAAGCAGACGGCATTTAAAGCAGACGACAATTTTCCCAGCATGCAAAGCAGACGACAATTTTCCCAACATGCAAATGGCTATTTTTGCACTCTTGAATTTCATATCTAGATGTGTTAAGAATAACTTCGACGTACTTTGTCTGAAAAGATCAGATCTGAATAGATTTTATATATCATATCAAATATAATCTCATTATAATCATAATATTATTGTCTATAAATAGATCTGTCATTTATTTGATGTACTCTCCCATCATAAAGTGTTATTAAATCTGTCTCGTGTGCTGTTAAAGTTTTTTTTGAAGAATGTTTATTTAGATTAATTATATTTTACGGTTTGTTTATTTTGTATTTTACAAATATTTTAAATAATTGTCAAACGTGATAAGATCTTACATCCTATTTAAAAGAATTTTAGATTGATAATATTAAGTACCCTGTTAACAATCGCATCTCCTCGGCCCTTTCCGTCAAACTTCGGATAAGTTATTATTGATATTAGCCGAGATGTTCAGGTTGACCAACTAATACACACAAAAATCTGTATCTTACTGCACAATTGTCAATTAATCATGTTTGAATTGTTCCAGTCCTTGTGATCATTGATTCCAACTGTCTTAGTATTGAGTATTGAATATCGTTGAGACGGTGCTAGGGGGCGTAAGAGATGTTGCATTTTTACATAATCCCTCATGAACAGACTCATTCAAACCAAGTCAGCGATTTTCTTTGCATTTGTTTTTGATTGTTTTTGCCAATCATCATTCCAGAATTTTACACCATAGTAAGTTTAGCTATAAGACTTTATTAATTATATGCATTATTAAGAAAATTTCATCAACATTAATTGTAAATGATCGGGAAAAGATTGCCTAGTATGATTATTGGTAACATATTATCATTTAATTCACAAAATGACCTTTCATACAGCAATAAATCAGGCAAGTGTATGCATTTACACGAAGATCCAAGTCATTGTGAGTTGGAAATAAAGTTAAATGCACATTAAGCCTTAGAAATAAATACATGTACATTTTCTTTCTGTAGAATGGGCAGACTTGTGTTTTATAATGTTGTAAGACTCACTTAAAACATTTAAGATGTTTATCACCTTCAGGAAATATCTCAGAATGTGAAATAATTTGCAATAAAGGTAGCAAAATGTAAATAAATTGGAATTTTAACTTTTATACAAAATAATAAGTCACTATAAATACATTTTTGTATACTAATTGCCAAAACGCAAATGAAGCAAAAGATTGCTCAATTGCTACCTATTTTGCTAATGAGTAACTTTGAAGAAGCTGTAACAGGACACAAAATTAAGCTTTTTTTAAAAAAAAATGAAATTTTAACATTTTTAAGGCTTAATGGACCTTAAAAATTTCACTTGTTTTTTTGTAATACATGTATAATTATTATATGGTTATATTTATAAATGTTGTAGTGTTGTTAAGTTTGTACAAAGTCTACGTATTTCATTAAGTTTATATCTAACTGTGTAAGTATATATTCATCTTGTATCATTTTTGGTTACGAAAGAACCATATTTTTCACACTGTCAGTCAATACATTGCTTCTTTTATACATTGTTTCATTTATTATTTCATTACTTTTATAATTATTTATCAAGATACTAGTCTTATTTTATATAGTTTCCAAGTTCCAAGTTTATTAGCATCTTTAACAAATCAATTGCCTTTGGCCATTTACAAAGAAAACACATGAAATATGGCAAAGACATACAATACAAAATAGTAATTGCAAAAAACTTGACATTAAAAAACAACACGTTTTTTTTCAAAAACGTTACTTTTTAGGTGAAGTATATCTTCAGTAACAATACTTTTCTTATATTTTTTCTGCTTAAAGCATCATGAGTCACGTGGTTGAATTGGACCCACCCGGTCGTTTTAGTCTTTTAAAATACCTTACCTTTACAATCAAAATCAAAATAAAAGATTATATGTAATATTATAGGATCAAAAATACATAGAATGATAAGCCGTCATCATTGCAAACATTGCTATAAAGTTTTTGAAATGTTTCACCTATATATTTTGTTATATGTTCTTTGCATGTGTTCACAGCGCTTACTGCCTGTCCAAATTCATTGATAAATTGGATTTTGATTAATTTTTTTTATTGCAATCGTTTCATTTCTCCTTATACCTGAATCTTACTGTGGGCATCTTTCAATTAGGTAATGTACGTTCAGTTTATATTGACTCGACCATTTTATATTGTGTAATATTTTACATTCTGGTTTCATTGTTTTGTATTTACAATGGTAGATCTATCATGTTTTAGCTGTCAAATGACTCCTGTTTGCTTTGTCTCTAATATTATATGTATTACTGCAATAAACAGACGCTTCTATTCTTGGTTTTACATCTTGTTTGTTAGTACATAATATCATCTTAAGTAGATCTGTGAATGCAGGTCTTAGCATCCAATCCCCCCCCCCCGCCAAAAGTGTTTTTCAGAGAGCTCGTCCCTGGCCCCGATATTTTGATATATATACGTAAATGTATCAAATAGTCAATTGACACTAAACATTTACAATATTGCTGGCAGAACTGTAAATTGTCACGCGTACATTCTTTGTGTACGAGCATATCTGTGGATGTTCTAAAGTCAAAATTTCACCATTTTTTAGCTTCAGTATTAAATTCCGATTAAGCCGGTGCTAGGGGGCATGGACAGTAGCTTGTACTTACCACTGCCATGAAGAGGCTCAACCCAAGTCTGCAACATTTTCCATTTTCCTTTTTGTGATTTCTTAAGGGATTCCACATTTTTCATTGACCAACAAACAAAAGGTATTGCATAAAAGTTTTCTTTTATGGCTTCTCACCACCAACCAACCCATTGCAATGGTCAGCTTCTGCCGAGACCATTGCACCACAAGTCCGTCAGGCTTTACGTCACGAATTGACAATGTAAGTCACATTGTGACTTTCCAGGTTTAGTAGTGGATGGAGACCTTAGACGCCCCTCGTTAATCATGTCCGAAACGAGCCAGGGCCACCTGGAAAAACTTAATACCACCGTTCAAGCGGTGACGGACAAATGATTCGAAGTCCGTTTCAGCCAAAGGCTCCAAAAGAACAGGACTGCTTTTATCCTAATGTCTTTATATAATAAAAAATTATACTCGACTACATTATGTTCTTTGACACATGGCATACTAGTAGGTTAAATTTTAAGAAATAAAAGCACTTAATTACTTTTGAAAATTGCCCTTTAGTGCATTACACAATGAAAGTACATGTAGCATTTTTGTGTCATATAGGGATCACTTCTCCGTCGTCTGTCTGTCCGTCACAAAACTTGTCCGGACTACTCCTCATAAACAACTGGTGCAATTTCATCCAAACTTTACAGGAATGATCAGTACCAAGTCTAGTTGTGCATATTGTCAGCATTTTCCGGTTCAATGATTTTGTCAGAGTTATGGCCCTTTAATAATTTTTATTTTTAAAGTTTGTCCGGACTACTTCAATTTCAATGAAACTTTACAGGATTGATTTGTAGCTCAAGTCCTTGCGCATATTGCACGGGTTTTTCGGTTGAATGATTTTTGGCCGAGTTATGGCCCTTTGTTTAAAAAGTGGGTTTTTTCTGTGTGTTGCCAGATACACAAAAGCTTGTCCGGACTACTCCTCATAAACTACTTGTGCAATTTTATCAAAACTTTACAGGAATGATCAGTACCAAGTCTAGTTGTGCACTGTCCATCTGTCTGTCCGTCTGTCACAAAACTTGTCTCAACATGAAATTGGCCATCATGATCACTGATCGCTCTTGTTTAAATTTGATAATCATTAGATGTTTTATCAACCTCAAGAAAGCAAGTACTATGAAAGAACTAATAAACAATCATCAATTTGACATTTTAAATGTTCGTAAGATGCAATGGAGGGAATGACAAGTCTAGGACAATGTATTTTGCACTCTTCTTGAAAAAACAACAACAAATGTTTATCTAAAAGTTTTGCACTAAACTCTGGAATTAATTGTTAAAGACACAACGATCATTCTTGGTAAAAGAAAAGAATAAATAAACATAATGTATTTTATCTTTTTTATTGTAATATAATAAAATTGTCATGTGATATTAAAAGGGAAGAGCAAAAGCAATTTTGTTATAATGTGCATATCTAAACATGGTAGTTGTAATTGGTTCGTTTTATAGTTACCAAATTACAAATTTGGACAGATTTCAATCTTGAATGACATGACTGAAAAAATATGAGAAAGAAAATAAGTGTCAAGCTAAGAGAAAAAAAGTGAAAGGAATATATAAGGACCAAAACATTTGACTTTATCTATAAGTTATATTTACATTTGGTTTCATCTAATAAAGTTATAACGAAGTCAGTCAAATACACTGTGTTTTGACAGTTTGAATATCTTCTGTAGCTCTTTTAGACTAAGAGAAAAAAAGGTTGTGTGATGAATAAAAATTAACTTGATAAAATCTTGACGAAAATGGTTTTTGCAATAACAAAACCATCATATCTATGTATATCATGATACATGTGTTTCAAAATCATGAATATTTTAGGTTGTTGCAGAGGGAATAACTGTACTTCCAATTTCTTGTTAAGTACATATATTGTTTGGAAAATTAAGATTGAATTCACTCACAGTTTAAACCTTTGCAGCAAAAACAACTTTTAGTTACTGGATCATAAAATGCATATTTGGCACATTTTTGTAGTTTATCTTAACAATATAACAAGATTTCAAGCTAGCAACCTGTTTTTTTTGTAGAAAGAATACATGTAATTAATATATTAGAGAATAACAAGAAACATGTGTAAGAAAACAAACAAATTACACAAGTATTATACCCGATACACAAACAACATTTGTAAGAAATATATAAAATATTTATAAAAGTTATATAACACAAACAAAACAAGAGCTGTCCGTAAGACAGCGCGCTCGACTTTTTTATTGCTTGCCAATAAAAAAAGTTTTTGCAGTAAAAGGCAATACAAGAATCTCTGTATTTTTAAAGTGAACAATGGCCATGAGCATTAAGATATTTAGTGAAGAATTATTTTACTGAATTGTGTGATACCCTTGAACACTGCAGCAAAGTTTGAAATGTTTAAGTCAAAAGAGGGCTGGTAAAAGGCCTTAATTTTTAAAACAAATCCTTGACAGAGTTACCTTCTCTTGCGTACAGATGGGGGTAATGATGTGAAATAGCATTAAAAGTTTCAAAGCAATATCTCAAAGGGTTAAGGCAATAAGTGGATTTTACCCATATTCAATGTATTTTCTAAGTCAAAAAGGGGCATAATTCTGTCAAAAACCTTGACAGAGTTATGTCCTCTTGTCTGTTGATGAAGGTCGTGATGGTAAACAAGTATGGTCAGTTTCAAAGCAATACCTCCAATGGTTTTGAAATAAAGTGAGGTGGTACAAAAAACTTAACCAAGCTCAATACACTTTCTAAGTCAAAAAAGGGCCATAATTCTGTCAAAAACCTTGACAGAGTTATGTACTCTTGTCTGTAGATGGAGGTTATGATGGTGAACAAGTATGGTAAGTTTCAAAGCCATACTTGTAATACTTCTGAAATAAAGTGGGGTGGTACGAAAAACTTAACCAAGGTGTGACGCCAACGCCGACGCCGGGGCGAGTAGGATAGCTCCCCTTTTCATAGAAAAGTCGAGCTAAAAACGAAACATTTTAAAAGAAAGTCTGACATAATTTGACTATCACAGATGCCAATTATAATAACATAACATTTATATGATAACATAACATTTTAATTTAGGGACAAAAAGAAATATAACTGACAACTATAAGAACAGATTTTAACCTTGATTTGAATTCATACAGATTATCATTTTCTAACAAATAAAAATCTTTGTATAAAAAAAGTTTTCAACAAATGCAAGGTAACCATATTGTTTGAAAAAATGAAAAGGTATAAAAAATTTGAATTTGATCTCTTTACAAGCTTCAAGCATAAAACATGTGTGTGTATAATATAAAAATACAAGATATTTTTACTGTACATTTGTTAGATATATAACAAAGAATGTTTTGCTCATTTATGTCCATGATAATTCTACTTTTAAATCATATGCAAAATTGTTTAAATTCTTTTCAGTAAGGCCGAAACTTGAATCTGAAAACTGTGTCTTTTACTTTAAAAAAATGATACCACTTTTAGTAACACACACACTCTCTGTAAGATAAAATGGAATAATAAAACTGTGATATGTGACATTAATAGGGCAAAAATGTCTACTCAACAATTCATATTATATTATAACTCACTTTACAATATACCTTTGCTCCATGCATTAATTTTGTAGAAAAAATAACAACAATAAAAATTCATATGGAAGTGTTTTCTAAATGTATCTATAATAAATACTATGTCAACAATATTTTCTTTTATTCATAACAAGTGATTTACGCAGCAGACGGCAACAGAATTACATTGTTTATATGGAGTTATCCAGTGCGCTGTTTATTCCATGATTCAAGCTGTTCCAGGAATGCTGTATTTGGCTGTACACTGTTACAACATTTCTTAACATGTTCAAATGCTTCCTGAAATATGCAAATCAAATGAAAAATATCAAAACATACTAAGAAACAAGCAAATCAAACTTGTACAAATAAACTTCAACACAGTTGTCCCCTTTGCTTTGCTACACAATCAAATCACTGTGAGGTGTTTGGTAATAAAATGTTTGAGCATTTCTGGCACTAGAAAGCCCTTATTTCTTAAACAAAATAAGATTGTTTCAAAAAGATTTCTGAGGACGAACCATTATCCCTATATTAAAGCCAAATGTTATACATGTATAGAGAATGAAACTTGTTTTCTAATATTGTGGATTTTGCTACTGGCAACAATTGAACATCCATGGAACTGCTTGGCCTCTTGAAGCTTCCAATCTCCACAACAGCTGATAACGAACCCAAGATCAAGGTACCAATACTCTTAAAATGGCTTCCAATATATATATATACCTCAATGTATATAGCATAAAAGAAGACCAGGCAAATGGTCATACCTTTTTAGACTTATAAGAAACACATTATATTTTTTTGCTATTGTCCAGTCATTCATCCTTAATTCAATTGTTAATACAAACAATATATGTTGCAAGGTATACGCACAGCAATATAATAAAAGAACACATCTTTTTATTTCTACCAATATTTCAAATTTGTAACAGAAACTGATGTAAAGGCATGAGAAAAAAATCCTGCTCCATGCCAGGGAGTCAAACTCATAACTATCAATTTTTAATCGAAATAGCACAACATTTTGGACCACTAGCTAAGCCAAAGAATCAAATTATTGATGCATAGTAACAAAGGTAGGTATTCTCTTATATGTACCATATATTTGATTATTTGCACAATTAGGGTTCGATATACATGTAGATGTAAATGTACAGTGAGGATTTGGAAATTGTTTTCACAATTATTGATATAAATGTACAGTGTGTGATGCAGATTATATCCCACTGATACAAGTGTACAATATAAAATAAAGGTCATACTTTATCTGAGCAATTTTTGTAGTACATCATGTAGGCTATTACAATAGCTGCACTTCTGCTAATTCCTAGGTTGGAGAACACTAAAACTGGCTCTTTTTTCTCTCTTTTATTTTCTGAAAAATGAAATAAACAGTCCATTTCATTTACCCTGTTAGAACCAAAAGTGATTAGACTTTGCCACCATTATAGAGCCTCTGAAAAGTCAGTCTTCACTTCCCTGAAGTCTTTCTAAGCACTTTGCTGATGTTAGGTCAATTTTTTGTTTAATGTTGAAATCCCTTAACTTTTCAATGGACTGCTCCAAAATTCAATGTTGGGCAAATCCATTTTGACAAAATTAGCAGGTTAGTTGTTAAATTAAATGAAAATAGATAACCATTTAGCTAGAATAATTTATATGTGAAACATGAACAAGAAATATTGTTTTTCAACTTAAAGAGTTTGTGTAACTAGAAAAAGGAATAATGTTTTAGGCCTAAATGATTAGTTTTAAGGGCACATAGATATAAGTTTTGGCCTGCCAATCTTCATCTTCAAACAAGGAATAGAAATGCCATTTTTAGCTGGTATTTTTAGTTTTAAAGTAAAAAAATAACAGAAATATGTTTGGTTTTTTTTTTGGTTTTGTTTTTTTCATGAATAATTAAATTTGTTTTAAAGCAGAAAATTAGTTACTGATAATTTTGGCCTTGATAATTTGGTTAGCAAATAAAGGTCAAGAAAAACAGTGATACATTTCAGACCAGCATATTTCTACTTACCTATAAATTTACAAGCCAGTTCAAACTTCCCCAGTACTTCTGCCTCATTTGAGTCTTCCACCTGAATATGTAACAACTGAGGCCCTGCCTCTGGAAAACTAAAATAAGTATATATTGCATATTATTAATTTTGAGATTGGTGATTGGCAATTCATAGATATAACAATATTTTTTCAAATTGTGCCATTATAATATATGTTAAGCGTTACCATGATGACGGGCAAAATTTTAAAACTCCACTGTTGGCATACATGTACATCATGTAAAAAGATATATTTTTGGACAAACAAAATGTACACATAAAATGTCTTCATTTGATATTTAAAAAAAATACATATATATCAAAAAAAAATTCCAAAGCTTGCCAAAATGGAATTCAACTTTATACAGCATGATTCAAGGAAATTATTTAACAGCACTTAGCTGCAACAGAGATTCCAAGTCTAAAAAATAAGTCTGAAAACTAAGGTTTATAATAGGAATAAAATATGAAAAGGCATATAATGTTGTATAACTTACAATGTTTCAGCCTCCACGCAACAATTGATATGTGCTTTAATCTTCACGTCTTTCTGTATGTATGGTGCGTTGCCTTGACGCCAGTTGCCTAGATACAGAAATCCTGGAATAATCTCTGCGGGATATGGCTTAATTTCATCTAACTCCTGAAAATCACAAAACCATCTACATTTAAATTAAATCACAAAACCATCCACATTGAATTTAAATCACAAAACCATCTGCATTTAAGTTACTAAAAAAAATATATAAAGAAAATACAAATTCATTTTTTGGTTTTACAGGTAGATATACAATGTTGTACATCATTAATTATTGAATAGTTAAAACCTTAGGTATGCATAAAATGAAATAAAAATCTATGATCCTGTATCAATATACATGTACATGTATGTTGGAAAAATTTGCAAAATGCATTATAGGAGCCATTTAAATCAGGAGTAATAAGTGAAGAATTAAAAAAAAAAAAAAAACGATATTCATTAATGAGATTGTTAAATAAATAGGAAATACATGTATTTTTTTTTTACAAGTATTTTTACTTTTATGAACATTTGACCCTGAAATAAAATTGTGTAATATTAATACAGCATGTCAGTTTTTTTTTTCTTTACAGAAATAATTTTAGAAATGTCTGTTGCTGCATTAAACAGTCTTTTTAAAGTTCCTTAAACATACCTTTGGCATAAAAATAATTTTCTGTGTTCTAAGGAATGGATACAGTGCCGAGAACTCTTCATAGCCACCTGTCAAAATAATATGTATAAATAATTAGTGTAACATGTATACAAACTACTAGTTATTTACATGTATATACATGTATATACATGCATTACATTATATAGAAATAACAACCTTTAAAGGGTATAAAGCTATATCTTATGAAATATTTAAAAAAAATTTATCAACAGTAAAATTATATTGGTTCCATTATGATATGGTTGATTTCTAAAAAAGTTGTAACATAGAATGTCTCTGTTATTTAAAACACATAAATAATGTAGTCGTTAACAGTATAAAATGTTCCGGAACAAAATATTATTTTGCTATTTTAAGTAGGGTTTTATCCGTTAAGCAATGACTTTGTGCATGCGCCACTCAATTTACTGTAAGGCAATTTATTGCCATTTTTATTTCATATTAGCATTTTGGAAGTATTCTTTTGAAAATCCAAACAATAATTTTTGCATCAGATATACTAGTATAGCTTTATACGCTTTAACCACTAATATCCAGTTTTAAATCTTTCTTTAAAGATTATATGCCATAACTGTTAAATACATATACAGTAAAACCTGTGAACAAAGGCCACCTAAAGGAGAGACAAAATGTGACCTTAATAGACAAGTGGTCACTATTTGGAGGTTCCTATGTTCTATTCAACAAATAAATTGGTTTTGAATAGTGGTCTTTATTAACAGGTCAATTTTTATTCAGAGATGGTCTTTAAACACAGGTTTAACTATATATGTTATCCAGCTGACTGGTATTCTCACATGTAACATATAAAATGACTGTTTTTGCAGTAAAAAAGAGACATCATGCTCATCTTTTTGCAGCTAAGATGATGCTGAACAAGCTATACTGTAACATGCATTTCAAAAGATTGACTATTATAATGGCAATAGACCAATATTTGGTGCCATATACAATGTTTTGAATAAAATGTAAAAAAGACTGCCTCAATCTATTGATCAATTGAACATTACCAATACATTCTGTAAGATATTTATAGAACTCCCTGTGAGTCATGTATGTAAAATATAAATGATACATGTGATTAGTATAATATAAATAGAATTCAAGGTCAAATATGACATAAAAGTCCATTGAAAGTCAAGGTCATGAAACTTGGACATAACATAAAAAAAGTCTAATTGGAATCCTAAAATATATGCCCTTATTAAGTTATATCTTAACTATATCATACCTTTTAAAATATTAACTTTATGTCTACTACCCATTTCCCACAGCAGTGACCCACAGTCAGTTGCATCAGCTGAAAAATCACAAAATATAATAATTATAGAGAATATTGAATAAATGTAGACTTATATAAATTTATTGAACGAGATTTCAAGAGAATCATATCATGCCTAAGCCTCCTGTGAACATAATATATTGTTTTATTCATTGAGTTCAATAAACTAAGTATTAAATCTACACATCTAATATAATATTCTATTTATCACATATATAAATACAGTTAAAGAGTCATTTTCCTTTGTCATGCATCTACAGTGGAATGCTCACAATTAATTAAGTGTGCTTTTAAATACTATGTTTGTACACTCAAATGATTGTCACATCAAAGTGTTATTCCATTAGTGTAAAATAGCTTTTATTACATGGCTTTATTACACTCCTGTGCTGTGGATTATGTGATAAATATGATAACGCAATTTTGGCAATCTGTTTTTTTTTAATTGACATTAGCAATATATGATCTTGGGAAAATGGCCTGAAATATGATGATAATACTTCATTCACTGTACTGACTGTTAAAGTAAATGCTTCAGTGTTAAACGTCACAGAAAAATGTCTGGAGTACTTACTGACTTCATTAAGGTTACTAGAATTACTGTCATAGACTACAACATTCTGTTTGCATTCCAATTCTGCATCAAAAGGTACAAAGAATTGACCATCCTTATTCTGAAATACAACAAATTAGAGCACCATTATGGGTAAATATCTGAATAATCCTGCAAAACAGATCTCAATTAGGTTTAAAAGTTGCCTTAGTATAATACAATTAATAATCTGGCAGAATGTGACAATGACATCAGAAATTTGTTATAACTTTATGTCCAAGGTCATTCATAAGCAAAACAGAATTTATTATTTTTATCTTAACAAGAGTGAACAATAAACTGAAGATTTCAGCACATTTCATGCCAAGAATATTTGTGAATATCTTTGTTTTAATCAACCCAACACAGTTAATAAGGCATATGGTGACTTTCCAGCATTACTTTTGATGGAAGACGTATTAGATGCCCTTCTGTGCATTAATTTCAGGCACAAAAAGTGCACTTGAACAAAACCTGTAACCAACTGGTTTAATTCACATAAGATTAACTTTTGTTAATATTCACAAATATCATTTTAGCCCAAATTTTGTGTATCTTATGTTATATCCAGCAACACATTTACACAAATATAGAAAAAATACAAAAGACAAAAAACCTGCAAATATTAAAAACACAAATTTAAATCATTTAGCAGTATAAATCAATCTGTATCATACATTTTGTTCAAAGATGTATAATATATCTATTTATGTACAACTATTACACTTACTACTGTAGCTTTTTAATTTGCTCCAACAGTTTGATGTAGAACAATTATATTTAAATCTAAAATAATAAATATGAGTATTTTCATTTTTATTTACACTACAAATTAGCAAAAAAAATTTATTTACACTACAAATTAGCAAAAAAAATTTATTTACACTACAAATTAGCACAGACAGATATAAGAATATATATCAACAATTGTCAAATATAAGGACATCAAACAATGTACGTGATGACCTCTGATATTATCTTACCTTTGGTGCTTTTTTTGCAGTGACAACATGGCTTTCATTGTATTCATTCTTGTTTCTTGCATCTGAAATAAGAAATTTAGCTTCACAATTATAAAAATAAATTTTACTTTACAACATTATATCTATTATCTTTACTACATTAAACATTTCTAAGTTATAAAAAAAAAGTATGTATTGTTTTGTATTAATAGTCTTCTCACCATTCAGTACTCAGTACACTTATTAAGAAGTGGCAGGAAAGCTATAAATGGATAGAGCCCCTGAACAATATTCTGTAGAACATGGGTTTGAGTACTGGTCAAGCTTTACATTTTGCTCACCCTGGGATATTTTGCACCTAACTGGGGACCATGATTACATATAGAGTTTAATTCACATTGCTCTGTAAATCAGAGAAATCTGACGCAGGGTTTTTTATTATTAACAGATTGTGATCCATATCATCGGCTATTATTAATGCTGTTAAAATCAGTTGTGCTGCCTTAAATGAAAACCATGCAAGGACAAATTCTAAGAAATCCGAGGGTGAATTAAGCAAGGAAGAATGTCCTGGTATTTAGAGATGTTATCTATTTCGGGCAGAATATATGCAAATGTAGTGATAGCTCAGTCATACATGATACATGTAGTATTAGATCTAGTCCTGGAATGATATTCCAAAACTAAAAGCCTTTTATTTTAGAATTAAACAAATGTTTAAATAAATCACACAAATTATATGACACAATAATGATGCAACAATTACATTAAGTGCTTATAAGTATCAGTATCATGCACCAAGTTGAGTCATAAAAAAATATACCAGGATATTAAAAATATCCACAAATTTTATTTTTCATACTCACCTATCAATAAAAGGTAATTATTGTCACTTAAATTAGAATAAACGGCTGCTTGTTGGAGCATATTATAAAGTTCATTTGGCTCTATTAATGCTAAGCCCTCCATATTGTCTGCAATTTACAAAATAAACCTAATTTAGTATTTGTTATCAACTTTACATTTCTTTCATGTCTTTATTGCCTCAGAACACCTGTTGTAAACAAACTATTGAGCCAAAAAAAGAGTTCCGTTAATAAGATAAGAAAAGAAACGAAAACGGATGAATAAATTACAATTCAAACAATAATTTTTATATTTGTCAAATATCCTAAAATATCAACTAAAATTTAGTAATTTACACAAAACACTTTTGAAAAATTCACCTTGAAATTAGTGCAAGTGTTGTTAAGTGCGGACTAATATTCCTGCATGCGCACAAAGTATTAACGCACTTCCGTTTCCGGTGTTCCTGGTTTTCATACTGTCTACAAACGCCGGTCAAATTAACATTTAATCATGCTTTCACGCATTGCCAGACCAACTTCTTGCTTACTAAGCCGGTCCTTTTCGACAACACAACAGGTAATAATTTTACAATCGTTGTGACAATGATCTTTTCACTAGTTGTTCCATCAATGTGCATGTTCTGCTTCAATCACGTTCGACTGCAAACTTGTCTGATGGGGTGATGCTGAACTTTAGATTATGGAAGAGTTCAGCTTGTTTAAAATCGAAAAGCTTCCTTTATTACATCATTCATAATCATTTCTAGCTTTGCAGCACAAATAACATTGTGAGAAGTATCTAGATGTCAAACATTCAAGTGCATAGATTTGAAGGACATTGCAAAGGGAGACAACTTTATTTTGTAATGTCATGATCAATCATTTCTCATCAAATTTTGTTTAGATTTCACTGAGAAATGAACTTTTACACTTATATCATCAGTAATGTTACTAAATATTTAATCTGGTGTCAAATGAAATGTTTTCAAAGGAAAATAGGTTGTTTATGAAGATGATTCAATGCATCTTGGGATCTTTTGTTCTCTTCATCTATCTTCTATGACATTCTGATTAAAAAAAGAATTGAATGTAAATTTAAGGCTTTCTAATAAGATATTTCATTGAATTATGGTCTGCAAATTGTCCTGTATGGCATTGGGATAAATGACTTGTTGCATCATACTTTTCTTACCAAGGACTGAGGTTATGACCGTTATGTAAATAGTCAGGGCTCTCGTTAGCATTTTGAGACTGGGGCCAGGGTCCATGCAAGGGGGGAATTTTGCATGATTTTCAAATATTTTTCATCCAAAAAACAGAAAACAGTGAATGTAAGATTCAGTTAACAAATAAACCTCGTTAAGCTGCTTTCATGAAATATTTCTGTTATTTTTTGCGGTACTACTTGAAATTGTGCGACATGTTGGAATGCTAAAACCTGTCCTGAACGTTTTATTTATATATACATACTAATTTTCGATTGCCGTTTGCGGAATACTTACTAATTTCCGGTTGCAGTACGCGGAATATCCATTCGCCGATCGGCGTTTTCTATGCCCGTTAAAAATTAATTTCAAGGGATTTCAAGGGGGATTTTTTTCGGTTTACAAAAAACACACTTTTTTGGTGGGGGAATGGGGCCGATATTCGGCCCCAAATTTTACCAAACGAGAGCCCTGAAAGTTAATTGCAATTTCGAACTTCCCACTTGGGAATTTCTTAAAAGTCAAGTGTATCCTTCTAGATTTGTAAAGGGGATATTTAATCTAATTGACAATTTTAAGGCTCAATGGATTTAAGATTTTGAATAAACTATAAAAAATAAAAGTGGGAACACTGATACTACCCCGAATTCAACTTCTGGATTTATTGTACTATAGTATATTTAACTAAATTTTCTTAAAATTTTCACTGCAGTGTAAGAAATTCGGATTTGAATCCACTAGGCCGGTCGGACTACCAGATTGGAATATACACTAGCCCAAAAGACATTTTACTAGCACGATTCATTTGTTCAAAACAGTTGTTTATAGTGCCTCTGAAAATACAGTAGTCTGTTTGGGCTTGTTACTGTGAAAAGTTGGTAGCCCGAGGAGAAATTTAGTAGTCAGGGGCTATCGGACTATTGCTAATTTCGAACACTGTCACTGGCTTGAACAAATTTTCACTGGCCTTGGGCAACCATGCCAGTGCTGAATTCGATGTCATTATATTTATTGTCAATGATGATCTTATCTTACTACTTTTTTCAATGAAAATGCGAAACTGGTGCTAAACATTTTTTTTTTAGATTTTAGTTATATATTATCTGTAAACTTACTTAATGAAAAAAAATAATTGTTTTATCTATATCTGAAGAATTCATTTGCAAGGAGTTATTACCCCACCTGAAAAATATGGTCATAATGTAGCCCAGCATTTGACATTTTTCAAAATAAAACTTGGAACACTTGGTTGTCATAACAAAGTGCAGCTGTTAGACAAGGGGTATAATCCTGAAAGTAATATTTTTGGAGTTGTTGAAGTTTTGGAATTTTTAATTCAGAATTTATGTCAAAATTGGTTATAGTTGTTGCTCTGAGCAGACAAGTGTTGCCATCACATGCAGTGCTCTTGTTTACCTTTGACTTGTAAAAAAAGTATTTCCTCATTTATTGTTGTTTGTATCATCTGCTTTGGAATGTATGATGTACAGACAGATGTTGTCAATATCCAGTGTACCAATTATGTCAGTTCAAAATGACAGGTTATCACTATCAAACATCAGACTCAGAGCAACTCAGTTTAAAAAAGATTTGCTACTGACTCTACTTGGTGATATAGTAAATGCATGCAGCTGTTGAATGTCCTTATACAAGAGAACAGTGTCTGAAAAGAGAAAAAAACCTACCCAATCTTGGAGAGTATGTCACCGTAGTAAGTTAGTAACACAATTTGTTTTCTTAATATTCATAACTTGTTAGTATCTAAAACATTTCTCTTTTTTGTTTATACATGCTGCAAGACAAGCTGGCCAACATTTAAATTTTCAGCCCGTTTAAAGTAGCTGTTTTATGTTTAAACACTTGTTACATATGTTATGTGTTTTCAGAATAACTCAAATGTAGCAGTGCTTGGTGCAAGTGGTGGTATTGGACAACCTTTGTCACTTCTTCTAAAACTCTCACCATTTGTGACCAGATTAAATTTGTATGATATCAACCACACACCAGGTGTTGCAGCGGATCTCAGTCACATATCAACAAAAGCTAAAGTAAAGGGATTCCTAGGACCAGAACAGCTTGATGACTGTCTTCAAGGTGCTGAAGTTGTTCTTATACCTGCTGGTGTGCCAAGAAAACCAGGTAAATCTAATGTTTTCATGATGTATACTTACATTAGATTCTCTCTGACAAAGCATGTCTTAATCATAGAGACAATCCTTATACAATAGTTCTTTGAAAAACCATTGCTAGAGTTTCCGTGTCAGTAATTTTAATCATTTTATCTAACTATGTTTTATTCAGCTCATTGTTTTACTGAAAAATTGTGCTGCATGAGAATTTAAGAATATATGATTGAATGTTTATAGACAAAGAAAATGTATTTGAAATGAAAATTAAATTTCTGAAACTGGAGTATTATGTTTTTTTCTTAGTTTACACGACAGTTGTAAATATTGAAACTTTCTTGGGAAAATCACACTTTTTTATTTCATGCTGTCATATTTTGAATGATTTTTATGCTTACAGGAATGACAAGAGATGACTTGTTCAACACAAATGCATCCATTGTTAGAGATTTAGTACGAGCTGTAGCTAAAAATTGTCCCAAAGCAATGATCTGTGTAATAACAAATCCAGTATGTATATCTTGTAAAATTTATATACAAGCTTTGAACTTTCAGATGTTTATAGCAAATTTATGATAAAATTTAATATTTATTCGAAGAGAAAACAATTTCAATGAAAATTTAAATAGAATATAGATACTAATGCAGTTTTTATATTTTACATGATTAGGTTTCATTTGTTAAAAGCTATGCATAGTTGTGACTAGAATATTATTACATTGTATGTAAGTATCTCACTATAAATTTTAATTTGAAAGGTAAACTCAACTGTTCCTATTGCCTCTGAAGTAATGAAACAAGAAGGTGTCTATGATCCAAAGAGAATATTTGGTGTAACAACTTTGGATGCTGTCAGAGCCAGTACATTTATTGCTGAAGCTAAGGTAATGTAAATATACCATAGTTTATTTTGAGAGAGTAAGAAATTGCAAAGATCAATGAATTAAAGTCAAATGAAGTAGATTGTTTGGAAGGAATGTGGCCTGTATTGGGGTTAAATTAGGAAGACGTTTATCAAGCTTTTATATGGTGGTGTGCATCTAAATTTATCCATCTGTTAAGACCTTTTAAGATATTTTTGTATGGTCTTTAAACATATTTTTGTAAAATGATATCTTTGAACAGTTTATAGCAATGTTTTTACGTATGCTTCACAGGACTTACCGGTGAAATCTGTCAGTTTGCCAATCATTGGAGGTCATAGCGGTGTAACTATAGTTCCATTAATATCCCAGTGTACACCCACTGTCTCTTTTCCACAGGTAAGGACTTTTTCTTTTTTTCAATAATTAAAACTTTTTCAAATCAACACAATATATGTAGTAGATGTAACTGGAGAGAAAATTTACTAATTATTCAAATACAGTCTTGTTACTTGCTATATAGTTACTTGTTTATATGTGTTATTTACATATAAAATAAAGTAAAAGCTAAGGTATATAGGTTTATGGACTGGTAAGGCTTTTACATGGATTCAAGTTTTCAGGCATGTGCCTGAAGTTAAGGTTTTTTATATTTCATTAAAAATTCCTTTTGTTTTATAAAGAAATTAAAAAACGTGTTTTATTAAAAATTAAAGTACATGTTATGCTTAATTCAGCATTTTCAGGTTTTTGAACTTTTGCACCTTTGCTTACAAAATATGAAGACTTTCGCATTATAGTTATCCTATTCCTATTTCATTTGAAGTCTAGTTGCTAGTCAAGATGATTGTCCAGTGTTAAGAATTAAGAAAGTTATTTGCAGAGTGCAAATCAGAACATTGCAGCCATTGAATATGCTAGGATGATGGTCTATAATTGAAAATCTGTCCATTAATGAATGTTTTCTTCTTTAATTATCCAAGTGCACATATTTTTTATGCAAGAATGAAAGTGAAAATCGAGAATAGAAATATTAATTATTCATCTGTTTAGTAAGTTACATAGAGGATATTTGTTTGTTTTGCTTGTTAGATTGAAATGTATTTCACTGAGTGAACACCAGTTGCAATATTTTCACGAGTGGCATAGCCACAAGTGAAAATAGAATAGCTGGTGTTCAACGACTGAAAGATTTTTCAATCTTATATGTAAAACAAATAAATGTACTTTTTATTTCATGCTTTTTAAGTGATTTTAAGTATTTTTTTTACGGATTTTGCCGTGTTACGCTTTGCATTCTCCTTTATGATGTCATCACATATTGATGTCACATCATTAATTTTCAACTATAGTTCTGTTAAGTTTCTCTAATTTTGTAAAAATTTTAACATGATGTATGATGACATCAAATTTCTTTTCCTAAAGAAGCTAATTTACATATGACAGCATTTATTTCTGCCTGTTATTCCATTTAGTTATGATATTCTTTTCATCAGCATTCAGAACTAGTCCGGCTACAGTGAAAATTATATTTTATAAATTTCACTAGTGGTTTATCAGAATATAATCATCTGATATATTACAGTAAAACACTGGAAAGCATGAAATAAAAAAAATATTTTCATAAATCATGCCACTAAAACATGCTACTTGGTTACCCTTGCAGAAACAACGTGAAGAATTATCATACAGAATACAGAATGCTGGAACTGAAGTCGTAGAGGCCAAAGCTGGTGCTGTGAGTACTTGATATCTTTGCCAAATTTATGTTCATAATATTTTTCTTTCTTTTAAGCTCACCTGTCACAAAGTGACATGGTGAGCTTATGCGATCGCTTTTCATCCAGCGTCCATCCGTAAACCTTTACTTTAAATGACATCTCCTCATTAACTGCTAAGCCAATTTCATCCAAACTTCACAGGAATGTTCATTTGGTGGTCACCTTTAAAAATTGTTCAAAGAATTTAGTTCTTTGCAAAACTGGTTGCCATGGCAACCAAAAGAAAAACTTAAAATATCTTCTTTTAAGAAATTCAAAGAGCTAGAGCTTAGATATTTGGCATGAAACATCTGCTTAACCAAGTTTGTGCAAATAAAAGCCCTGGGGTCAAATCAGCCCGTCCCTGGGGTCATTGATTTTCTTTATATGTATATAGTAAAAACTTTAAAAAAATCTTCTTTTAGAAAACCCAAAGAGCTAGAGCTTAGATATTAAGCATGAAACATCTTCTACTGGGTGTCTACCAAGTTTGTTCAAATAAAAGCCCTGGGTTAAAAAAAAATGGCTCGGGGTGGGGGGTCATTGATTTTCCTTATATGCATATAGTAAAAACAAAAAAATCTTCTATTAACAAGTATTTTGACTCAGGTGAGCGATTAAGGGCCATCATGTTATTTTTTTTAATCAGTTGAATTGAGAGCTCTTAAATAAATTTAAGCTTGGGAACTATTGCTAAATTTCATTTTGTATACATTTGAATGTTTCTAAACTTCTAAATCTTGCAAAAATTTAGATTCAGTATAAATAAAATATCTGTGAAACCTTTTTTTGACAGGGTTCAGCTACATTGTCGATGGCCTATGCTGCAGCCAAGTTTGCTGAAAACCTAATGGAGGCAATGGGTGGAGCTATAGGAAAGATTGAATGTGCATATGTTCGTTCAGATGAAACCGATGCTACTTACTTTGCCACACCTGTTGAACTTAATGTAAGTTAATATTCGATACCGTAATCTCTGAAATTATATTTCATATTCTTTCATATGCATCTTGTTTCTTGGCACTTCACCTATAGCAATGGGTTCAAATCTCACTTTGGATTTGTCCATCTTGTGGCTGAGGGGTTGCTTGTAAGAAGTTTAGGCATTATAATTGCAGGCAGCATTTAACCCTTCATGATAATAAAAGGTGACTAAATGGGTTTGAATTACTGGAATCTGTGCATCTCTTAGCGCCTGCAGATAAGGTTGTTTTGATTGCTGATGTTGCTTTAAGTTGTAACACCTGGAGAAACCGAAATCATTTTTCTTGTTATGGCACCATATGACCTGGATTGATGTGCCGTAAACCAATCAAAACAAGCCTTGGATTTGTATGGTCTCTTTTTAATTAATTTGCTGAAGGTGAATGGTCCTTGGTGCCAGCTCATGCTCGAAACAAATCTAAAGAGGGGCATTTTCACATTAAGGACTATGGTGCTAATTATATAAATTCCAGTAAAAAATTGAATGTTTTAAATATATGATACACAATGGTGTTAAAAAATACTCTCAATACCATAAGTTTCGTACATCAAATGTCAAATGAAGAGAGCAATCAAAATTGCTTTTAAGTATCTTTTTCATGACAAATTTTTTGTTCAAGCATAACTCTTTCATAGTTCATAAGGAACATATTGTTAGAAGATGAAAATATTTACCAAACTTTGATTAAAGAAATAATATAAAAATCGTATGTTATGAAAATCTCATGTTTTCACCTGTTATTGCTACACTATTACAGGAAAATGGAATCAAAGCTAACCTAGGAATAGGCACTCTGATTGAATATGAAAAGAAATTATTATCTGATGCCATGGAAGAGCTTAAGGGTAACATCAAGAAAGGTGAAGATTTTGTAAACGCAAACAAGTAAAAGTGCGACACTAAAACTGTTAATCGAGACCATGTAGATTCTACTCAATAGTGAAAGAAAACCTGGACTTACAATTTTTTACAGATGATGAATTTCAACATTAGTGTAAACATTTAAGAACATTTTCTTTTTCTTTATTTCTTGCACGTTATTTATATATATGTCCATATAAGTCCTATGTAAGTGAACAGTTTATAGATAGATATAGTTTGCACCTATTTTGAATGTGTTCACATTCTTAATTGACATTTGTTTCTTTATCGTTACGTGTGTAGGAAACATTAACGCAAGTCGGTCTTGTGTTTGACTGTGTAATCATTTATATTAGGTTTAAATTGCAGTGTTAATTTCTATTTTTCTTTGACATTTGATGTGAATGAGAAAATACTACGGCATTTACGAGGGTTTTTTTTTTTTAAGGAATTTGTGAAGGTACAAAGAAATAAGTAACAATACTAATGAAGGATCTATAATATATACATCCTAGAATGTTAACGTACTTGCAACTGTACTAATAATAGCTTATCATGCTGGAAGTGCCGATGTGCTAAAACTGATTTTACTTTCAACTTTTGGGCTCTTTGTTTTTCTATATGTATATATTAAAAAAAAAAAATAACATCTTGTCTTTAGTTCAAGTCCAGCAGATCTTGATATTAATTGCTGAAAACTAATTTGCTTTCATCAACATTTTTATTAAATGTTTTATCATGTAGAAACTGAATAATTTGGTTAGAGTAAATATTTGATCAAATGCACTAGATTTTTATGGGATTATTTTAACTGATAGAATAGTGGTATTCTTCCAGTTTAAGTGAAATTATATTTACTCATGTCCTATATAAATGTACTGTTGTTAATGATTTCTTATGGTGAAATAAAAAAAAAAAGTAATCTGTTAAATAAATTCTTGTTTTTGTGTGTTTTTGAGTGTGTGTGTGTGTGGGGGGGGGGGGCACATTCCGTTGCTATGGGGATAATTGAGGCACTTACGCAGATGCTGAGGAATTGCACGAGGACATTTATTTCAGGTATTTCTTGTCTTGTTGCAACACATTCAGTAAGACACAGCCTATATTAAAAACTTACATGCTGCACACCTCTTAAAATGGCTTATACAAGCCAAAGTCTCATATTTAATCGAAAAAATTCATAGAGCATTAAAATGGAGAAGATTGAGCAAGTAACATTTATTTCATGAAACATTAATAACATGTTTGTCAACATAAAAATTTCTGAATGACCTTGGGAATTGTGTCTAGTGGTCATTTGTTTCTCACCGCTGATTTAGAAATCAAGTTGTATTAGTAGTTTGTCACTTGGGAAGAAATTGGTAGTAATAGTTTGTAATCCATGAAAGCTGGTTAGGTGAGGTGGACTAACCATCCAGATATGACCAATAATGTGATACAATCTCCATAAAAAACATGAACAAATTAAGTCTAGAAATACGAGTTTTCGTTATTTCAAACAAAAGTCATAAAATTAGGTGATACATAGTCTCACTATCAATCTTTTAAGTTACAGTCATTACTTAGCTGCAATTTTAATTGGTCTTGACCCTATCAGTTTTGTGTTTTTGTTAGTTTTACCCATGCTGAAAATTTCCATGGGTCTTTACAAGGTTTGCTGGGTACTGAACTGCAACACAAAACACTTAATAAACACAGAAATCTACTCAAATCATAACATTACATCATAATTTTGTATTCATGTATATCTTGTTTATTTTTTTTTTTCCATATTCTTAATTTTTTCTTATATTAAACAATACTGTCCAGAAATGGCATTATTTCAAATTGATCACAGATGACTGTTTTCAAGCAGTGATATTTCTATAATAATTTAATGATTCCGTATCCTCTGCTAGTGTTGCATCATCCAGGATAACCTGTGAATACAAGATGAAATTTATTTATACATCTTTAGAAGAAATGTATAATGAGGTAATGACAATCATCGTTGCATTGTTTTAAACTATTATCAGGTGTAATATATTTAATTGACTTGTCCATTTTTCTAACTTGAAAATTTAAATATTATTTTAATAGTAAGATACAAACAATATTATTTTAATAGTTAGGTACAAACATAAATTGTCCATCAACAAAATTCATTGATTCCGTAACCCCAAGTCAGCTTCATCAGAACAGAAATGTATAACCACTGCTTATATAGAAACAGATCTACTTCCAGTTATCTCAAAAATTGATACAAGTTGAATTGTACGAGTTTGCACAGTTAAGGTGATTTGAAACAAAAAACACTACTTGCAATAACATGTACACACTTAATTGTATAAACTAGCAGTAAAAAGTGATTTGGTTTCTATACCATTATTACCCACATGATGTCAAATAAATAGTGTAACGCCATTTGGCGGCATAGGAAAGTGCAACATCAATAATAAGCATATTTATATTTAGTTAAAGTTAAAATGTATAAAAACATGTCATGCTCATTGATATAAAAGTTTCCTATAGATATCAACAAATATTCTACATCTTACAAACAGTCTAATATAGCTTTATACTTATAAAAAGCCATATTCCACAAGAGTGTTACAAATCATGTTTTTTTTTTGTTTTTGTTTTTTTTCAATTATGGAATATATGGAATTGATTTGACAAAAAGAAGGGAACATGCTTATCTACACAAAAAGTATTTTGAATTAACCAGAAAATGATAAAGTACAATACTAGTTTACTAATTTAACTAATATAAAAGGACAAGTATTCACCTTCGTGCAATAATGGGTTAACTCCTATTAAATTATATAAAGAGTTAACCCATTACTGTACTAAGGTGACAAAGTATTTGTGTAATTTCACAAACCTGAATCAGTTCTGAGTCTTTCTTCGAGTTAACAAGTATGTGTAGAAGAGCTTGTCTTGCTATAGAGAGGTCATGACCTTGACTTCCTGTCACATGACAATCTAATATCTTCTGCAGCTGATGTTTTGCTAATCTATAAATCAATACCAGACAACATATCAATAATGATCAAATGAACAATAGGGCAGATATTTTATTAATTTTTTTTAAGTATTTTGAACTACTGTTTTATGCTAAAATAACATGATTTTGAACTCCCTACTGAACAGTCCCAAATCCAAACAGGGACAGTCCCAAATCCAAACAGGGACAGCCCCAAATCCGAACAGGGACAGTCCCAAATCCAAACAGGGACAGTCCCAAATCCAAACGGGCAGATCCATTTTGCAAATTCAGATTTTGGTCCTATCTCGGCAGTCGATCCACCTAACTGGCTTTCATGGATAACTTACCAGGAATTTTCAATTTCTCCGCAAGTGACTGACTACTAATTCCACATAATTTCTGAATCAGCAGTGAGAGAAAAATGACTGTTAAACTCGCTCTCCGAGGTTAATTGTCACAGCAAAAGTATACCTCATCTGTGGATTGAACCAGCACCTCTGGATTACAAATCCAATGCTCTCCCTATTAAGCTCAGGGGGCACTAAAACATAATGAATAGTGGGAAATAATATTTAAATAAAATAACCTTGAGTTAGTGTGTAGATTTAGAACTCCCTGCATTAAGTTAACAGCAATGCATTCTGGATGATCTGCCAATATCTGATCTACTGTTTCCTTGAATACTTCCTTGTAGTGGTCTAAATTTTCTGAACTTGTCTGAAAATATTATAATTAAAATGTCTGAAACATTATCACACTATGATTAATTGTGCTACAAATGAATGTTTATTTCATGGTTCAAATTATCAGCATCTTTATTTAAAGCAAAAAAACAACAATAACAAAACAACTTACATTTGCAAATATAGTCAAGGTACCCAAAGTGAATATAGTCAAGGTACCCAAAGTGAGGGTACGAATGAATAGTCAATGTACCCAAAGTGAGGGTATGATTGAATAGTCAAGGTAGCCAAAGTGAGGGTATGATTGAATAGTTGAAGTAGCCAAAGTGAGGGTGTGATTGAATAGTCAAGGTAGTCAAAGTGAGGATATGACTGAATATTTGAGGTGCCCAAAGTGAGGGTATGATCTAATAGTTGATGTACCCAAAGTGAGAGTATTATTGAATAGTTGAGGTACCCAAAGTGAGGGTATGATTGAATAGTTGAGGTACCCAAAGTGAGGGTATGATTGAATAGTTGAGGTACCCAAAGTGAGGGTATGATTGAATAGTTGAGGTACCCAAAGTGAGGGTATGATTGAATAGTTGAGGTACCCAAAGTGAGGGTATGACTGAATAGTTGAGGTACCCAAAGTGAGGGTATGACTGAATAGTTGAGGTACCCAAAGTGAGAGTATGATTGAATAGTTGATGTAACCTAATTTTATTAAGCTATTCTTGAACTTTATATGTTGGTGATATATCTTATGGTCAAACTACCACAATAATTTGTATTAAAATAATTACCAGAATCTGCTGAAACGCCAAATGTGCCATCTTGAGCAAAAACACTTGATTTGCACTGAAGTAGTAAAAAACAGATGCATTTTTCATTTCACCATTCTATGTGCTATTTTATTAATATAAGAGAAACTACCACTTTAATCATTCAATGTCAACCAACTATACAACATATCAAAAGTGAAAAAAGAAAAACCCATTACATATTTTATATACTTCTCACACTTTATTGACAAGTTTTGCTCGTCTACTATAACAAAACAAAATCACATTATTTATGTCATAATTATAATCTCTATATTCTATATAATATAAAGCTCTACAATAAAACAAGAGCTGTCAGTAGGGCAGCATGCTCTACTATTCTAAGTGCTTGGAAACCAAAACTGTGACCTTCATTAAGAGTGTTAACTTCATTAAGAGTGTTAACAATCTGAATTAGGGGAACTGAAGACCAATTACGGACTGACCACTTTTGAGCATTATTGCTCTCAATTTAGTTGAAAAAAAAGGTTATCAAAATAAGCTGTACCTATTAGCCACTTTGTAATGACACTGTTTCAATGTAGTCTCTACCTCCGTCATCAATCCAGCTTTAATGTACATCTCTACCATAATCTACCAGAAAAATACATCATTAGGTCATTACAAAAACAAACACTCTTTATGACTATTATGTAGTACAGTAGGTAGCATTTTTGTACACAAATGATTATTTGAAATGCAAAAGACTGTATAATTAAGACAATACACTCATACTCTATATGAACAATATTATAAATAATTAAACAGATTTGATAATCAGATAATTGCAAGATTATACTTAAGAGGCCTTTTTGTTGAACAAGGTTTCAGAAAATTCATACATGCTGTTATTTAAAGCTTGGAATTATTGATACAAAAATTAATTTTTCCGATTTGGTGAGAAATTTTAAATAAATTACAATACACCCCTGAAGCAAAAAGGCATTTTGTTCAGATACAAGAAGGAAGTCATTAAATGGTGCATATTTCCAGATGACCAAGTAGAATATAAAGTAATCAAACTTTCAAAGTATGAAATATATCAATAATTACGAAACTATGTAACGCTTTTAAATTTGTCTACATTTGATAAGTTTATCACAATATTTCAAGTCAGCACATAACAGAATAAGGGAAAATTTTAGTAACTTGAAACATTATAGGTAAATTAAATGGATTGCAAGTGTCCCCTGCCATATGCAGGCTTATTTCACTCAACAATATCTTAAATATTCCAAACTTTTATGAAATTTTCATAAGAAATTAGTATGAACCTGGCAGCATGCTGCTTTGACAATATACACACATAAAAATATCACTATTTAATGTTCAATTAACATGAATACCAACCTGCCAAAAATACACGGAGGAGTGTTCATCAAGAGATTTAGCCACGCCCCCTGTATTGTCTTGTAGGACATTACTAAACACATTAAACAGTTGCTTCACTTCTACTTCTCCACCAAAATCTGTCATTAACTAAAATAATTCAAGTAAAGTAGCTGTAAGATTTTTTTTCCTATCATAACATGATCATAATGTATAACACTACTTAAACACAAAGTACATAAAGTGCTTCATTAATACCATCCAGGTCACTCAATAGGTAGAGCATTGGACTGGAAATCAGGAGACCTTAGTTCGATTCCAGGATGGTGCAGGTCATTTTCATTATGATTGATCATGAAATCCTTTCTATGGTCATTCACACTGTACCTCTGCTCTGGCATGTACAGAAATTATCAGTTCTTTGCGAAAGTGAAAGTAACTAGTACTGGTTAACTGCTATGACAGCAAACCAGGAACAGTGTAGTGGTTCAACAGTGCTCTGGTTGAATTCAAAGTGGCTTACTGCCGTGATGCAGTCTAAACTACCAATACAAACCTCCCATGTTGCCTCATAAAAGTTAAAACTTGGCCTTTCTACATTAAAAAAAGTTACATAATACCCAGTACTCACCTCATCTAGACATTCCATCAACTCATTATGCATATTAGCATTCACTGTACACACTATCTGCTGCTTTTCACACCAAAACTTTAATGGTAGTGAGACATCTAAAATATATAGTGGAGAAATAAATATGTGTATTCTAAAAACGAAACAAAAAATTCTGTGCTTCAAGAGCAGATAATGTGATGGTTAAAGAGCAGATATTTTAAAATACATGTATTGTGGTTCAAGAGCAAACAATGTGGTGGTTAAAAGACAGAAAAAATGTCAATTTAAGGGCATACAAAAAAGTGACAATTCATGAACAAATAAATGAGCCGTGTCATGACAAAACCAACATAGTGGGTTTGCGACCAGCATGGATCCAGACCAGCCTGCGCATCCGCGCAGTCTTGCGCATCCACGCAGTCTGATCAGGAACCATACTGTTCCCTATCAGGGTCTCTACTTGTTATAGGGTTTGTAAGCGAACAGCATGGATCCTGATCAGACTGCGCGGATGCGCAGGCTGGTCTGGATCCATGCTGGTCGCAAACCCATTATGTTGGTTTTGTCATGACGCGGCTCAAATGTGATGATTCAAGAGCAAGTAATGGTTATGTTATATACATGTATGTTTCAATAACACATGACAAACATGAACTTAAAACTACGATTTTTTGGTAAATTTACAAGTATTTTCTAAAAATCTTAGTCATGTTTAAATTTTGATTCATGGTATAAATGCTACATTGTATCATGGTATTTTCAGAAGAAAATTCAAAGAAGTACACTTTATTTGATTATAAGTTCGCTAACCTCAGCAAATTTTTTTTTTTTTTTAAAAAGCGAAGTCCTGGGTCAAAGGTTTTGAACAAGTTTCTTAGCTCAAATTCAGATCTCCAGTATTTGATTGGTAAGAAACAAGCTCAGAATGCAGAATGACCTATGAAAATTTTGAGGTTTGAGACTGAACACAAAAAGAAAAGTTTGATAACGAGGTCAGTACAAATATAATACAATGTACTGTATACTTTACCTTCTTTTTTGATATAGCACAGAATTGTGTATTCATGTTTGAACAGGGCAAGTCTTTTCTCCCAACATGATGTTAGTATAGCTTGAGAATGAACAGCAGACGCCAGTGCTGCCCAGTTGTCTACATTCTCTGATAAATAGAAACAATATTGAAGGCTGAGAATTCACTTAATTTTGTGGGCATGAAATATTGAGGCTTTGTAACAAAAGACATTTTTGCGGGTTCTTAAAATTTGTGGATAGTCTATTTGTGTAAAAAGAAAAATGCAAATAATGTAATGCATAATAATCTTACAGCAGACAAAATAAAATTTTGTTGGATCTTAAATTTGTGGATTGACCTCACATGTCCACTCAAAACTATAAAAAAAATTGTGCCCAATGAATAATAATTATTTTACAGAATTTCTGTAACATATTCATAGTGTGTCTCTAATAATATTTGACAACGAAATAAAAGTATATTGTTATCACACAGTCTTTTTTATTACATGTATTAATGGTGGGGAGGTGTCAGTTGGGGAATAGGATTAAAGTCTCACTGAGGTCACATGGCAATTTTCTGGATAGAACCATGAACAGTAAGTCAGCTGGACAGCTTCCTCAAATGAAAGTATTAAGAATTCATAGTCCCTGGCAGGATAGGAAACCATGACAATGATCGGCAAGTTATTTTCTTCAAATAAGGCAAAAATCTATTTCTAAAATTTCTAAAAATTTCTAAAATAACCATCATCATCTAGTTTGAACTTAAATGAAACATAACTGAATTTTAGATACAACATGTCATTTTGACCATTAAAACAAGAAGACAGAACTTAAACAAACCTGGATTATAACGAACAGCTCTCTGTGCTGTAAGGAAAGCATCCGCAGAATTCTGTCCGTTACCATGGCAACCTGCACTCAACTCACTAATTGTTAATAATATAAAGTCAGTCTGAAAAGAAAAAGGAAGGAAAAACAAGGCATTTAGTTTCTTATTCCACAAAGAGCAATTATTTTGTGAAAATCAATGCATAGATTTTCTTATTACATAACAGGTAATGATTTTGTGAAAATCCATGCTAGAGTATGGACAAACTCTACATGATTGTGGAGACAGATCTTGAATGAAAAATCTAAATCAGAAGTTTTCTAAGTTTACTTAACATAGGGTAAATGATTCAGTTAAAATTATTGACAGACATCTTAAATGTCTTGGTTAGCAACACAAAATTACAATCATGTAAATGCTCCCTTTTAAAACACACTAAACTACAGTAGAACTTCAATGCGTCAAACTTCAATGAGTCATTTTTTCTCGATGAGTCAAAGTAAAATAAAAGTCCCAAATTTTCTAAGTTAACTTTCAATATAACACTATTGTGATTGTCCACTGAAAACTACAAACCTGTTTTCCTGGGCTTTCTACAAGCAGAGAGTTTCTAGCGGCTTGTGCTGCACTTTTTCCTAACTTTGGGAAAAACTTCAGAAGTATTCCTGATAATAAACGCCATAGTTTTGGCTGGCAAGGATCTTTGTGTAGTAAATGTTGCAGCTTTCTTTTTACATCAATAAGATTTCCCTGAAATTACACAGTAAGACTTTTATCACATGACTTATGATATAGAACCATTAATGATTTCATTCACCTTATTTAATGTAACAAATTACCTTCTAGCATTTGCACCTGGCAATGTTCAAAAATAACTTATATCTTGCCTTGCTATCATAATTCAATAGTTCCATATCAAATCCATATTGTACTTGAAGTTACTGTTTCTTTAATATCTTACAAAAACACAGTTGACGTTGAGTGTTTTCTTTAATTCTATGTATTCTCCTACAGAATTAGTAAGGTGTGTTATTCATTGAAATTTTAACATTACACTGTGCAGTATTATAATAAGAAAACACATTTCAACAAATTGTTACCTTGATCATGTCTACACCAATTGCAAGCAATGCTACATCATACAGATGACCAGGATTATCTCCCAGACTGGAGAGTTCATGAAGTGCAGCCTCGGCTAGGGTCAGGTCAGACTGTATCAGTCCCAGGGCACACAGGGCCTTTAAACCAGGAATACATGGTTCAGACAACTGTGAGCTAAAAATAGAATCATTTCAGATAAGTTCAGATTATGTGTAAGAGACAGTGATCACAGACGTTCTTAAAACTGTATGTATAGGGTTTTAATCAGCTGGTTCTTTTATTGGCTGGCACTAATGATAATTGTTGATACCGGATTTACTTTTGTGCTGTATGACTAGTATTGTTACAATGTGCTGTTAAACCTAAATTAACAATTAAACACTTTTTCTAAGCGCAATAGCAGTGTCAGTTTGTAATTGATGTATGCAAAACATGTACGTAAGTTATAAGGTATCAAACATCAGGTTGACACAATAGCACATTTGTACATGTACATGATCAAAATGTGACTGGTGAGCTACAAAAAATTAACCTAACAAATTTTCAATTCTCAACATGACTAGCAATATTAATTTTAAATCTCTTGCTGTTATCAGTGGCAAGGTCATCAATTTCTTGGTAATACTAGACACAAAATTGTTGACTTGCCACAATGACAGCGGAGCCATATATGGTGGTCACAAAAACTTCACAATGAATTAACAAGAGCACCGCTAGGCGGAGCATTATATGCCCGAAAGTGATTTTTTTTTTTAGTAAAGATGAAGCATTTGTAAGACATGGGAATTAAATAAAGTATTACCTCCTTCACAAAACAATCCCCCTTTAAAGTTTCAATATTGTGGTCCAAATGGAACTTCAGTTATGCCCCGGAAACTGTTTTCAGTTCTAAGGTAACAGTGACCTTTGACCTTGTGACCCCAAAATCAATAGGGGTCTTCAACCCAATATGGACAATCATACTATAAGTTTAAACACTGTGGGCCAAATGAAACTTAAGTTATGTTCCGACAACTGTTTTCAGTTTTAAGGTAATAGTGACCTTGACCTTTGACCTTGTGACCCCAAAATCAATAGGAGTCTTCTACCTAATATGAACAATCATCCTATGAAGTTTGAATATTGTGGGCCAAATTGAACTTAAGTTATGCTAAAGAAACTGTTTTCAATTTCTAAGTAATAGTGACCTTGACCTTTCACCTTGTGACCCCAAATCAATAGGGGTCTTCAACCCAATATTGACAATCATCCCATGAAGTTTGAACACTGTGGGCCAAATGGAACTAAAGTTATGTCCTGTATACTGTTTCCAGTTTTAAGGTCATAGTGACCTTGACCTTTGACCTTGTGACCCCAAATTCAATAGGGGTCTTCTACCCAATATGGACAATCATCCTATGAAGTTTAAACACTGTGGGCCAAATGGAACTAAAGTTATCCTCCGGAAACTGTTTTCAGTTTTAAGGTCATAGTGACCTTGACCTTTGACCTTGTAACCCCAAATTTAATAGGGGTCTTCTACCCAATATGGACGATCATATTATGAAGTTTGAACACTGTGGGCCAAATGGAACTTAAGTTATGTCCTGTATACTGTTTCCAGTTTTAAGGTCATAGTGACCTTGACCTTTGACCTTGTGACCCCAAATTCAATAGGGGTCTTCTACCCAATATGGACAATCATCCTATGAAGTTTGAACACTGTGGGCCAAATGGAACTTAAGTTATGCTCCGGAAACTGTTTTCAGTTTTAAGGTCATAGTGACCTTGACCTTTGACCTTGTGACCCCAAAATCAATAGGGGTCTTCTACCCAATATGGACAATCATCCTATGAAGTTTGAATACTGTGGGCCAAATGGAACTTAAGTTATGCTCCGGAAACCAAATTGCTAACGGACGGACGGACAGACGGACGGACGGACGGACGGACGGACAGACGGACGGACACCAGGGGGTATAACATAATATGCCCGAAATTCTTTCGGGCATATAAAATGGTCAAGTGATCTAAAGTTAATCTCTTATACATGAATAAGAATTTTAAAGCATTACCTTTGAAACAGATTTGTTTTAGCGTTACCAAGGTCACCAAATTTATATAGCACCATGGCAAGTGCTGTAAGCACAGCTGACTTATCTCCATCTGTCTGTGCCATCTCAGCTGCTTTAGTATACACTAGGGGGAAAAAACAGCACTAATCATTATAATTGAGCCGCGTCATGACAAAACAAACATAATGGGTTTGCGACCAGCATGGATCCAGACCAGCCTGCGCATGGGGATGCGCAGGCTGGTCTGGATCCATGCTGGTCGAAAACCCATTACGTTGGTTTTGTCGTGACGCGGCTCATTATTACTATTGACACTAACTGTATTAAAATACATAAACCTATTTCATTGCATGATTAGTTTACTATAAAGATGTGTATGAAGCTTAATCACAGACATATGTTTGGAAAAAATAAATGTTTTAAATAGTGAAATCTGCATGGAAATCTTCAGTTATATACATGTACATGTATACAGAAAGGTGATACTTTTTTACTCTTATTCCCATGTATGGATTGGAAATCATGAATTCATTTTGAAAAAGTTATCTATTTTATTCTAAGTATGAGACAACAACTTAATCATGGAATTTAAAAAAGAAGCATGTTTCAATCCTTCAGAAGTTGGTATAAATATATCGATATAGTAGATACCTTGAAAGCTCTCTAGTTCTAGATGACCAGTTTTATACAATGCTAGTCCCATATGACACAAGTCTACCAATGTACATACACCTGCTATCTTCTCATATACAGAACAGGCTTGCGAATAGTCTCCTGCTTTACTAAAATAAATCATATTTATAAATACTAGTGTGTGTTGCATGGCCAAGTGGTTAAAAGCCATGTGATAAATGACCACATGGTTGAAAATGGCTGAGTGGATAACAGCCAAGTGGTAAATGGCCAAGTGGTTAACAGCTCAGTGGTAAATGACCAAGTAATTAATGGCCTAGTGGTAAATGGCCAAGTAATTAATGGCCTAGTGGTAAATGGCCAAGTAATTAATGGCCTAGTGGTAAATGACCAAGTAATTAATGGCCTAGTGGTAAATGGCCAAGTAATTAATGACCTAGTGGTAAATGGCCAAGTAATTAATGGCCTAGTGGTAAATGGGTAAGTAATTAATGGCCTAGTGGTAAATGACCAAGTAATTAATGACCAAGTGGTAAATGGCCAAGTAATTAATGACCTAGTGGAAAATGACCAAGTAATTAATGACCAAGTGCTAAATGGCCAAGTAATTAATAGCCTAGTGGTAAATGACCAAGTAATTAATGACCAAGTGGAAAATGACCAAGTAATTTATGACCAAGTGCTAAATGGCCAAGTAATTAATGGCCTAGTGGTAAATGACCAAGTAATTAATGACCTAGTGGTAAATGGCCAAGTTATTAATGCCTAGTGGTAAATGACCAAGTAATTAATGACCAAGTGGAAAATGACCAAGTAATTAATGACCAAGTGCTAAATGGCCAAGTAATTAATGGCCTAGTGGTAAATGACCAAGTAATTAATGACCAAGTGAAAAATGACCAAGTTATTAATGACCAAGTGCTAAATGGCCAAGTAATTAATGGCCTAGTGATAAATGACCAAGTAATTAATGACCTAGTGGTAAATGGCCAAGTAATTAATGGCCTAGTGGTAAATGGGTAAGTCATTAATGGCCTAGTGGTAAATGACCAAGTAATTAATGGCCTAGTGGTAAATGACCAAGTAATTAATGGCCTAGTGGTAAATGACCAAGTAATTAATGACCTAGTGGTAAATGGCCAGTAATTAATGGCCTAGTGGTAAATGGCTGAGTCATTAATGGCCTAGTGGTAAATGACCAACTAGTTAACAGCCTAGTGGTTAATGACCAAGTGGTTAACAGCCTAGTGGTAAATGGTCAAGTGGTTAATGGCAGTGGTTAACACATCAGACAAGTAATGTAAAGATCATAATCCACATGGGTTCAAACTTCCTCAAGGGCAAGCCATTGTTTCCTTGAGCAAGAAACTTTACACTCATTGCTCAGTACTGGTTTGTTAAAAAAATTGACGCAAGAGTGTGTCTATAAGATTATAGTTTTCTTCACAATCAAACTAAAATAAATTGCCATCAGAAAGGAGATAGGCCATTAGTTTAGCTTTTTCATTTAACATTATCTTATGGCATTGTACATTACATTGTACATGTACCTCTCACTGCTCTAGAAATGACTTTTATGTAATTACTTGCACAAGTAGGCACCAGAGTAGAACCAACTACATTTTGTAAGCTAGCTTGATAGCTTACTCACATGAAAGAATCCAAATTCCCTGACAGGATTCAAACCCACAGCAATGAGGGGCAAATGGTTTAAAGCCAGCAACTTAGACCACCCAGCCAGAAGGGCCCCCACAAATCAGCTAGGTTAAATAAATAGCAACACCTATGTAATATTTACTTATATCTGTAACCAATATGACTAATATGTGTTTGATAAAACCTTTTTCTAAACCTTTGAGGTATTAAAGCAATTATAAGTATGTTGAAGTTTTCTTATATTAGTAGTCTCATTCAAATAAATTGTTAATCAGTATCGTTAAACCTATTTCAGAAGCTGCATGATTTAAAAGATGTATGTACTTACTATAAAAGTCTTGCAAAGTTACACATAACCTCTGTCAGATAGGTTTTATCATCTTGTTGTTCAATAAGTAAAACAGCTCTGAAATATTCAGCCATTTGTTACATTAACATAATTCAAAAACTAATTTTATATGATAATAGCATTAGAGAAAAAGACCTTTAATTTGTAAATTTGTTTGTTTTGTTTTTGAGGTTTTTCTTTTATTTGGTTGAAAGTTGAATCACACTAAACTTGTTATGGTGACATAGTGACTTTAATCGTAAAATGTGGTAGATGTCCTCAGGAGAATATCTGTATAATTTTTGGTTGTAGCTGAAACACTGGTAGAACCAGCAGCTATTTATATGCAGGAGCCCAATATCAACTTCCTGACATGGAAGAATCCAAAATCCCTGTTAGGAACCATACATAAGTGGTGATAGGGCTTAAAGGAAGACTAAGATTATAAAGCAATTTTCTGGGCTCCGTCTCAAATCTCAAGACTTTCATTGGTCAAAATATATTCTGTGTCAGCTACTGACCAATCAAATACTTGATTAGGTAAAAAGTGTTAAAGTGTTATACAAAGACTTCAAAAGGCCAAATTAGGCCATGTAGGCCAAGGCCTACAAGTTGGTCAAGAAATTGACATTTTCAAAAGCCCAAAAAGACAATAAAACAGGCGTGGTGCGGTTGGGGATGCAAGCCGTATAGTCGAATCAAATGTGTTTAAGGATTTTGCATGATTTACCGTCATCAGTAAAGTTTGCATTTAATTTAAATTATTGTTTTGATCATTTTCCATGAAAATACTTTGAAACGCGCATTTTGCTCTTTTTAATCTGAACTTGTTATGGGCTTCTAGCAGCTAAGCCCCCAGACCTCCTTCTATGGGCCTATAAGTTTAAAAAAGCTGGCTATGCAGCCTATGCCCCTGATATGTGCCTGTGTATGTGTGCATAAGTATGTGTATGTTATATGTGTAATACAGATTAAAATGATAAATGGGTAAAAAACAATTATTCTAAAATCTTACACTTAACTTTGTAGAAGGAATCAGTGGTATGAAACTGGATTAGTGTAAAATGACGCTTTTTTATTGTATGACTTACTAGGCATGTCATCATTAATCAAATCTTTTTAATGTTTTACACTACGTTTTTAAAGGCCCCTTTCTTACAGTATCACTTTATTGGGCATATCATCACATATTAAAACAATTTAATGCTTTAGGCTGGTTACGTTTTAAAGGCCCATTACTTACTGCTTAAACTGTTGTGCAGCGGTCCTGTATAACTTCTGTCTCTCCAGCAGTAGACCATACATGTTATATGCTACAGCATTTGTCTTTACACGATCTGATATACAAATATAATACTTCACTAAACACTTTAATATTCTAGCTTTACTAAAAGATAAATATCTTAGAATTCTAACTATACTTATTGATATAGATGTTATGTGCCCTGTAATGAATTATATTTTAGACATACGCCTGTATGTGAATAGAAACTTAACTTTTGATAATGTTTCACTTGTAAATGAATCAAATCTTGGGCGAGTGGTTAACATGTGGTTAACATGTGGTTAACAGACTAGTATTCTAAATTTTGGAAACCGCATGGGTTCAAACCCTATAAGGGGCAAGCTGTTGTTTCCTAGTGCAAGAAACTTTACACTCATTGCTTAGTACTTGTTGGTTCCCGGAACAGATTCAAGAGTGCTTCAGTAAGCTTATAGCTACCAACAAAATTGAACTCAAACAAATTTGTATAAACTAAGCAAGTCACTGTTCTTTGTCAGATTTAAACTCAGAACAGTTGGATGTATATGTATCATGAAAAATGAAGTTTCACTTTGAAAACAAGCAATTATCATAGTATTGCAAGCAATCCATAAGTCCCCTACCGGTAAGAGCCCAAGCAACATTCTGAAGGGCCATTGGCCATTCACTTATGTTCCTATTTTAAGTAAATTTGTTGAAAAAGTTCTTTAAAAGTGATCACAGGAAACAGTTTTTATGTACAGACAGACGGACTGAAGGACACTCTAAAGTTATTTTTTAAACATCCCTGTTATCAAAATATAACATTTTTAAAATCCTATCATGATTGAAGAAGTTGGAGTAAAAATTACCAATTTCTCAACAACAAAAAAGTCTAAGTTCAAAAGGGGCATAATTCTGGAAATAGTCTTGCTAGAGTATTGAACACTCACAAAATTTAATGTTGAGTGATAATAAGAAACATTTATATGAAGTTTGAAGTAGATACATTCAGAAAAAGAAGTTATTAAAAAAAACAATGTTTTTTTCATGAAAATTTTAAGTTCAAGGGAGGTAATTCTGATAAATTTTGTGCTAGAGTTGTAAACCTTGTCACATATGAAGTGGTTGATGACAAGCAACTTATATTTAAAGTTTGAAGAAAATACCTTAAGAAATAAAGAACTTATAGTAAAAAAACTTAAAAACTAGAATCAGAAATCTTGAAATTCAGTCTATTTGTTGCCATAGCAACCAGAATTTTCAACAAAGGAAGATAAGAAAAGGATGTGCATAATTTCCATACTGCCATCTACCCATATGTCAAGTTTCATAAACATATTTTCAGTACTTTTTGTGTTATCACTGGATCCAGGTTATGTTAAAATTTGCCATATTTTCAGTCTATTTGTTGCCATAGCAACCAGAATTTTCAACATAGGAAGAAAAGAAAAAGACGTGCATAATCTCCATACTGCCATCTATCCATATATCAAGTTTCATAAAAATATTTTCAGTACTTTTTTCGTTATCGCGGGATCCAGGTTATGTGTAAAATTTGCCATATTTTCAGTCTATTTGTTGCCATAGCAACCAGAATTTTCAACATAGGAAGAAAAGAAAAAGACGTGCATAATCTCCATACTGCCATCTATCCATATATCAAGTTTCATTAAAATATTTTCAGTACTTTTTGCGTTATCGCGGGATCCAGTTTTGTGGACGGACGGACTGACGGACGGACAGACGGACTGACGGACGGACGGACGGACAGACGGACGGACGGACGGAGGGTAAACCTAAAGTCCCCTCCGGTAAACCGGTAGGGGACTAATTATACATTAAATTGATATACAACACAGCAATTTTGCAATCAAAGGATAATAGGTAAAAACATGGACTAAAAGATAGTACCGGTAACTTTTATTTCAAATTTGTTGACACATTAACTGTATTTATCCCTACCTGTATATCTGGCTAAAGCGTCTGAAGCAGACGGCACAGCTCCCATCTGTTCTATAGCATATGTATACATGTACGTGTCACGTTTATCTACATTCTGTAACATTATCGTGCACACCCAGTGACCATATCCTAAAGCACCTTCCACCTGCAAGGTATTTACCATGATATGAGTAGTTGTTGCAGTGATTAATATTTTTTTTCAAGAGTATTTCAGTTATCTTTTAAGTGACAATATTAACCTTGATCAAAGTGATCAAGTTCTTAAATATATAGCCTCATGTAAGCACTCAATTCTTTTGAAAGCTCAATTTCAATACTTTGATCTTGTAATTCCTAAAATTTTCTATACATTTTTCAAAAGCCATACAAGACCATTGCATAAATTCAGGTATGCCCCCTTAGCTCAATATGGAGAGCATGGTATTAGTAATCAAATGGTCCCTGGTTTAATTCTCAGGCTAGGCCGAATTTCTTTGTGACAATTCACCTCTGATATTGAGCCTTATAGTCATTTGTGTATCATTGTTGAATCAGAAATTATCTGCTTTTAATTGTCCGTCATTTGCAAATATATTGGTAATTACTGTCTAAAGTTATCTAGGAAAGCCAGTTGGGTGTATCAACTGCCAAGATATGACCAAAGATGTGTAAAAATCTTGTAAAACCCCGAAAAACAAACAAATGTAAATTCATGCAGATTAGAACTTCAATAACTTTTGTATGATGTCATAAGCTTACATGATTTCCTAGTTCAGTTGTATGTCTGTATAAGTCCATGGCGTCTTCGTGACCTACGACCTCTGCTATGATAGCCTGACCTATCCAACATGAGACATAGGATGGTTCCAAGCTCTGTGCTATCTTAAATGCCTCATGGGCTAGCTGGAATAAATTTTAAATTCAACTTTAATCAACAACTGTAATTACCATGTTTATATGTATATGTATTAAACATAGGTTGCTTTAGTATATATTCAAATGAGGATTTATTATGAATAAATTTATGACCACATTTAAATGCATAACTTTAGTTTAGGAGATACAAACTTGCATGCAAAAACCTATGTGTGACGCCAAAGCCTGGGTGAATACAATAGCTATCCATTTTCCTTGAAAAGTTATACATGTAATAATATAGATGTTAAGATTATCCAAGAAAATTACATTATAAATGTACAGTATTATAAAGATTAAATAATGTCATGACACTGTGTTATAATTGGTGAGAAATAAAAACAACCAACACATACCTTGACATTATCTTTGCTCAGGTATAAAGCTGCCAAATTAGTCCAAGCTATCACATTCTGTAATAAAAAAAAACAACCTAATAAACAATTTTGATTACGATTAAATCATATTATATTTTGCATAAACATATCCCGTCTTTACCTATGTATTTGGAGGACCTTGAAAATACATAATTTCTAAGATAGAGGTAGAAGTCTGACAACGAAAGTACAGTGACCTTTAGAGCACACACTTTATTTTCATTGGTCTGCTAAAATCTAGACATGTGCAACCACTTTGTATATTTAACAAAGCCTATATTTTATGAGTTCCATGGCTTCCAAACAAATTGCATAATAATGAAAGGTTTTTTTTTTCAATTTCCAATAGTTTTTCTTGAAATTGTGTAATAATGAAAATATATTTTCTTCCCCTGATAGAAAAGAATCCCATTCATGTTAAATGACAGCATATTCCATAGACTTTACCATGTAACTTTAGTCTGTTTAATGTTTGTTGGACTGACTGGCTAGTTAGTCCCTACTATGTTAATAGGTAGTCTCCTACAGTGAAACCTTAGCAGACACGCCCTCTCTAGATTACCTCTTTACAACAATAGTATTAAATTTTCCAAAGTAACACTTCATAATAAAGTCAATCTCTCCATAGCAACACCTCATAACAAAATATGTGTTTCCAAAAGGATGTTGCTCTGGTGAGGTTGTACTATATTTGTAACTTAGTGCTTTACTTTTTTAAATTGCCAGCTTTATTGAATTATCTGTAATTGGTAGAATTTCTTTTTTAATTTGGTTTTATGTCACCCCTACACAATATAGGTCATATGGCAACTTTTCAGCTTTACTGGTGGAGGAAGACCTTAGATGCACAGCCCCTCTGTGTGTTATTTCAGGCACAAATGTGCATCTGAGTAGAACCACCGACATTCTGTAAGATAGTTGGATATCTTCCTAACATGAAAGAATCCAAAGACGCTTCATGGCTACAAAAACGCTTCCATGGCTCCAAACTTAAGCAGTAAGAGGGTAGAATATTTAACACAACCAAACTTCAACATTCAGTAAACAGGTTAGAGAAAAACTTACATTGTGTTCAACTTGAATTGACTTGATAAAACAATGCTGTGCTAACTCTGGCTTGTTGTAAACTAAAAGAAACACAAGAATACAAGTCAAAGCTTAATAACATAATTCTGTTTATAATTCAAATTTTAGTTACCAGTGTATTAAAGTTTTAGATATCCTAACTTGTAGGGATAGATAATAAAGGTGCAAAGACTTGTAGTTCAACAGCCTGGTTACAAATCCAGAAAAAACCCTCACCCATTAATTTCTAGGACTTTAAACCAAGGTATTGTATCTATGTTTTTAACCTTGTAAACTTTAAGGCAATGTTCTTCATCAGAAATTGAAGTTGTTGGGTTTGGGTTTTTTCCAAATTTTCCTTCAATGACTTAAGCACAATTATGACAGGGAAGCACATATGACCATTGGTGTTGATATACATGTATATCAAATTGCATTACAGTTAATCTCCAGACAAAACATGAAAAGTATGAAAAATAATAAACTTATGCAAAACTGGTTATCCTGGGTAGCTAACTAGTAATTACCAATTTCACAAGTTAATGACTACTAATATCACGTGATTTTTAATCAGTGGGTGACAGACAAATAATGATTAGGCTCACTTTCTGAGATTAATTTCATGGGAACAAATTTTGCCCTGCCAAAGGATGAAACCAGCAACCACTGGATTAGTACTCCAATGCTCTCCCTATTGAGATAACCAGGCAAAGTTTTGGGAAAAAATTATACCTTTCAAGCAAGCTACATATCGCCCCATTAAAGCAAAAAGGTACCAAGCGACATTTTGGCCAAAAATGACTTTTTTACATTTTTCATTATGTTTTAATGTTATCTTTAATCTGTAGAAATATCTCTATAGTATCATGTTTATTTACAGACATATAAGGTTATGTAAAAAGGTACTATGTCAATATTTTCCCATTTAGTAATGCAAAAAGGTACCATATGCATATCAGTTTGAGCAAAAAGGTACCAAGTGTCACATAGTACCTTTTTGCATTGTATGACTATATATGTTTTGAGCATTTATTTTAATGCAAAAAGGAACCATGTGTCACATGGTCCCTTTCTGCACACAAGAATTTACGACCCTTAAGATTATTTTTTATATTAAATTGTTTGCTTGGTACCTTTTAGCTTTTTAATGAAACTACAATCTAGATGTTGCTAAGGACATCAAAATAATATAACAATTAATCCCAGAGTATTGTTTATGTTTTAAATTGAGGAATGATAACAGTGCGAAGATAATGATAGTGTATAAATGACTTCTTCACAAAAATGTGGACGTAAAAAGAAAAGTAATTGACTGTACTCTTGCCAACAAGATACATGGGTTATATGGAAGGAGAAGCATGACAGGGAAGCCAACATCTGCAAATAAACTAGATTATGATATAGTTAAATTGGTGAAACAGCATAAAGAGTAATTTCCTAAAATCAAATCTCATTATACAAGAAAAAACTGATAGAAACAATACCTATCTCATGACTATGACTTAAACATTAAAAAGACGTGGAAACTGTAAACTATTGAAAGTGAAAAGAAGGAAATAAAACCTGTTAAGCAACATACCTATAGGAAGGCAGTAGACACAATAGATGGCATGATCAAGGAACAATATATTGAACATCAAAAAACAGAAAGAAAATTCACAAAAAGAAAAGATTTTAAATAAAGTTGGAGCAAAATGTGACACATGGGTTTATGTTGCATGTTTTGATCTCAAAGCCGTTGTAACAACCCCTTGCTCATTAGTGAGTGAGCTTTACTATTTAAGAAAAATCTGTTGCTACACAACTTGACAGTATATTCCTTATGAGACAATAATGTTGCAGTCATGTATGGGATAAAACCAACTGCAAAGAGAGGCATGTGAAATAACTTCCTGCTTATTAAAAAACCCTTTTTCTACTTGCCAAACTGGTTATGTCAAATAAGTCAGATTCATACGGGGGACAAAACAGAAATTGATTCATAGCTGCGTCTCTTCTTTTATATTATCATAAGTTCCAAGTTTAAGATTGATCACAAATTTCTTGTATCGGGTCACTCACAGATGGAGTGACAACTTGACTCTTGAAGGGGCAAAGAAAATAATTCCTGTATAATTATGTATCATTCAGTTGTATTCTCTTATATCACTGGCCAGAAAATCACAGCCATACATTGCTGTGCCAATGAAATATAACCATGTTTTTTGATTTCAAATACTTCATTAAAAAACAGTGTCCGAGACTCAAAACATCCATTGACGGACAAAGAGTAAACTGGCTACAGGTGGAATGGATACAGGTACCAAAGGGAAGCCCAAAGTCAGTATTTGTAAATTAGAGCTTTAATGCTGAAGATTTTATGGAAATAGAAGTTCAGAATACAGAATCTAAAATATTAGTGGACAAATGGTGAACAATATATGAAGTTATGATACCAAACCTCCAGTTTCTATTCAAAAGAAAAATGACTTGGTTACTTTGTGTGCAAAGAAAATTATCCAAAAAGAGTTCCATAATTATAATGCCACTTAACCAACATAAAGGAAAGAAAAGGATTATGTCACAATGGAATCGGATGAGAATGATTCTGATTTTTACTAACAATGTAAGAGATTTTGACATAGGCATTGAGATTGGTCACAGAGGATTAAGACTTTCAAAACATGTAGTGTGATAGTTGTATAAGACATTAAGTAAAAAGACAAGAATTTCATATTTATATTTGTATCATTGTAGAATAAAATTGTAGCGAAATGGTGCTTTTTTGTTAATATTGTTGGGACAAAAAGGTGCCAACTGCCATATGGTACCTTTTTTTGATATATTCGACAGCAAATGTTAAAAATCATACGATGCAAAAAGGGGCCAAGCGTTCATATGGTACCTTCTTACATTTGTCAGTCAAAATATTTATTAGTGCAAAAAGGAACCATTTCCTTTAATTGATTAATTATCACTAATTAGTAATATATAAGCTTTCCAACTTTTTGAGCATGTACATTCAAATATTATCTAAATATATGTGAAGTTTCTTTGCCATGTTGTAGAAACCTGATTTGATATGGAACTTCAAATCTTTAAACGCGATTTTCTCGAAAACATGAAAATGTCACTTGGTACCTTTTTGCTTTAATGGGGCGATATCCTAAGGCATTCCAGTGTTTATGATTGGTAGGTTCCAGTTGAATAGCTTTCTTTAAAGCTTGCACAGACTTCTCAGCCAATGATCTGGCAGATTCCCCAGAGCTACATTGTGATTGGTGGATGAAGTTGACCCCAAGGTCATGCCAGAGAGATGAGCATTCTGGGAGACATTTGAGAGCTCTAATATAACACCTGGATAATGAAAGAAATCAAAATACAATGTACCATTATAACTACATGTATTCTACATTAAAACTAATATTCAAATCATAGCAATATAAAGTAATACTTTCTAACGAATATCTTAATATACCCACACAATGATCAGCTTTTTTAACACTTAATGAGCTGAATTTGAGAAATTCAAGAAGTTTTGATGTTGGAACAGAACAAAGTTTAGATGTTTCTATATCAAACTACAACATGTGTGTTGCCAACAGTATAGTGCCTGGTAACACTGCAGAAAATTGCAGTCTGACTTGGCCTTATACAGTTGGTAAAGGCTATTGCATGGCTTTTTACGTTCCAGCAGGTAAATGGTTAAAAATATAAAGGAGGTTTCCATAACTCTGAGGCTCCTCAAAAAATGATTGGCAGCACTTGTCTTCATAATAAAACTATTAATTTAACAATATTTCACCAGCAATTGCATTAATGAGAAGTCACAGAAATCAGAATGTTTAGAATATGAGATATTACTTATTTAGAACCTCCAATATTTCATTGATTATTCTAGAGGAAAAAGATGAGAACAAGATAAGCAAATTTTATTTATACAACAAAAACCTTGATTTCATACCTAGAACCCAGTTCAAGTGTTTCAAGCTTAGTAAGTACTCCTTTATCTGGTTTCTCAAACCTGAAAATCAAGAAACATAATTTTATCAACATTTTTTTCACAACAGTTTTTTTTATTAAAATATCAAAATGATATATTTATATTGTTTTTATTAATATTTTGAAAAGTAATAGAAAATGGGCCTGATGAAGACCAATCCACTTTAACGTAATTACTCTTTTAAAACTTGCATGATTATGGTACATTGGTGATTCTATTCATTGTGCTAACATGTACCTATAATAAATATCCATGGGGCACCTGAGGTCTTCCCCCCACCCAATAAACCTGGAAAATAGCCTTATAATCTTGACAGATCTTGACAGATCTTGGTCAGTGTGACATATAAATGTAAACTAACCAAATATAAAAAGGACATGTTTTCCATAGTAATAGCTTTAATTCACAACAAATAAGCATAGAAGTAAAATTTCAACCAACAGCGCATCTTCATATGTATTATGTGAAATTTTTACCTGAAGTTTTGTGCAGGTAAAACATGAAGAATGGTACAGGCATCACCTATAAGCTTCCATAAACATGACATATCAGGACGTATTGTAGCTGCCCTGAAATATTTTTAAATAGTGAAGCATTATAAATATTCAAATTGTATAACGTGTATGTGGTATGGCTATTATAGCATCTAATATTGATATTTCTGTGCATCAAATAGATTTCCTTTTTTCTTTACCTTTTCTGAGTTATTTCACTTAGTTTAAACATTACTTAATGTAGAAATAAAACATTGTAGCTAATTTGAACCTTCCTAGGATCTGCTTGCCTCCCTGGAACTAACCATAACTGATATCATATAAAGGCACATTGTCGTGACCACAGTGGGGCTTGAACCCATGATTCCTGGGTTTATATGCAAACACTTTAACCACTAAGCTGCTAATCCCCTTTGAACATTATTTTTCTTGATGGAATTACAAATATTTTTTAATGACAATTCATCATTTCATCTCATGGAATTCAATATTTTGATCGATTCTGGGTCATTCAAGAAAATCACAGGTAAAAAGTAGATCAAACATGTCAATTTTCTTACCAAAGTGCAATTTATGAAAAAACGCCAAATATGCCTAGGGTAATATACCTAACACTGATTCCCTAGGCCCTAGTGTGTGTTTTGTAGTCATATGACACAATAGAGTATCATAAATAACATCAACTTTTAAGAAAAGTTGATAAGCCAACCTGTAATTATTACCTGCTGAGATGTAACACAGCTAGCTGGGCAGTATCTCTGGCACGACCATGGAAATACTTCCATAATAAAGACTTGGCAACTAACACATAGCTTTCTCCAACACCTAAAATTTTAAACAATTTTTTTTTAATCCTTAACCAGCTGAATGTAAGTAATGGATTTGCCTTGCTATGAATTTGGAACAGTCCATTCAAAGTTTGAGGTATTTCAATGTCAGAATACAAATATGAAGCTACCACCAGTTTAAAGTTTGGTCAGACTGCACTGATGTAAACATCAAATACCTAATACTGACCATATCCCATCATATCAGATTTGCCATATATATGCATCATTTGTTAAATTGAAATATCACCCTTAACAACATTCCATCTTTACCCTTGCATGTGTCTTACTTAAATAGACTTTTGGAAAATCATAAGTTTGTTCTGACAAACCGATATTTGACTTTGTTTGAAAATCAATCACTTGCAAAATTACTTTAAAGTCATTGGAATTTGTTTTCATACTTTTATTATTATACAAATTGTTACAAAATTAAATTAAACTACAATATAATCCAGTATTCTTTCCTGGAAAGTTACACCAGTACTAGACTTCCTTCCTCCGCGCTTACCTACCAAAGCATCTCCCGGGGATCGAACCAACGCCAGAGAGGTAACTTGATTAGAAGTCATCGACTCTAACCCCTCGACCACGGAGGCGGTTAATGATGAATAAAGAGATCTCTTTGAGTATAATTGTCATGAAAACAGCTACTGAGGCTTAAGCTGAGGTAAACAATAAGTTTCTTTGATTAACAAAATGAACAATAACAATCAGCTAAAGCTTATATTTAAAACATTTTAAACGACATCTTTTAATTTTTTTTTTGAAAAACATAAAAACAAGAGATTGTGGAGCTTGGTGATTATATCAAACCTTTCAAAGCAGGAACATAGTTAGGTGACTTCTCTAATATAATCTTGTATTCCTCGATGGCTTCTGTATATGTGCCCAATGTCTGCTTAATAGAGGCCATTCTACAAATTCAACAAACTCTCAATTTATAATAGCTAACATGTCATGGTTACTATATAGAAAGCCAGTTATATATTTACAATAGATCTTAAATCTATTTCAGAATCTATAAAGTGGAAAAAATATTGAAATAATGTATTAATAACACCCAGCTATTACAATTGAAAGTACAAGGAAGGAATAAATGACAAACAAACATTTTATTCTTTTTGTAGTTTAAATGTTTTTGATATTGCTTACATAGTCTTTATAAAAGTATGCAAACATAAAGTTACTAAAGTAACTGAAAAATTAATGGTTTAAGTAATGCGATGTTGTTACTATAAATACTTTTACATCACATTCAATTGATTGTGCATTAAATAACAGCTCTCCCTGATGTTCAAATTTAATGTAAAACATTACTTACTGAAATAAACAGTACATGGAATCTGGACATAACTCTGATGCTCTGGTGAACGCTTTCAATGATGCTGTAAAACTTCCTCTAGCTAGGTAAGCTTCCCCGAGACATTCCCATACATGACTGCCAATCAAAATGTTTGCAGAAATAATAAAATCAAATCTAGTTTAAACATAATTCAGTAGTAAGAAATAAAGTATTGTGAAAGTTTTTATCAAAACATGGGTTAAATAAATTCTATATAAAAAAAAACAACAGAATTGCATGTACTCCAAAGTCTAAAATGTAAATATCACAATTAAGTGTTGCAGCTTCAAATAGATCTAAACAGTATTTCATTCTCTTATGTTTTAATAACACAAGATAAAAGTATCAGTAATAAGATAAAAATATTAGCATGGAAAAATCTTCATATCAAGAAAGCTTATAAAGCACATGATCTCAAATGAAAATGCAGGATTTGTTAAGCCGATTCATTTCTTCTTTTAGAATTCTGTGTAAAAGAGGTACTTACTTGTCTTTTGGATCAGCTCTCAATGCAGACTGGAAAGATGCAATAGCTATAGAAGGATCCTCATGTTTCACCTGGTACAAACCTAGACGTAACCACGCCCATTTAGCACTGAAAACATTAAAACCTAGAAGTAACTACACCTATCTAGCACTGAAAAACATTTAAACCTTGACATATCCATGCCCATTTAGCACTGAAAAATATTTAAACCTAGATGTAACCACGCCAATTTAGCACTGCAAAACATTAAAACCTTGACATAACCACGCCCATTTAGCACTGAAAAACATTTAAACCTAGACATAACTATGCCCATTTAGCACTGAAAAACATTTCAACAAATATATAGATAGGAGTCTAATATACTGTATATTGATGTAATTGATTTGATAAGTATTTAATTCATATTCTTTAAAGGACTATTAAGCCTCAAAACTGCAAATATCTTATCATAAAAACCTTTTTAATTTTGATGTCCGGTTACAGTTTCCACAAAGTTACTCATGGGTTATAAAGCTGAATTACCTTTTGATTCTTTTTCGTTTTTGCAGATAGTACAGTTAAAATGAATAATATTTTCTATGGAAGGCAAAATATCACTTTGTTTACATTTTGCCATTTTTAATCACAGATTATTTCAAATTCAGTGTCATGTCCTTCAAGTGATAACAATCCGGTATGTTGTTAATCCATTATTACAACATTATAAATCACATGTTTGCCCTTTCTATCAGCGCTTATAAAAATTCACATTCAATGTAGTCAAAAGTAATACTATAATCTCTAGCTATGAAGTGTGGGGCATTTGGGTTCTTAACTTACCAGCCAGCACTAGCTCTTGTTGTTACATTGGTTAGAATTGTATGAGCTTGCTCCTACAATATAGAACAGAAACATAAGATTTACATGTACAGTTCCTGTCACAGTAAATATTGTCACCATATACAAATTGATTACATATTTTTTTGTAATAATTTAGATGTAAGGTCATTGTGAAAGTTAAATGTTTGCTTTTAGGTTTTGTTTGGTTTTATGGTGCACCAACACAATTTAGGTCATATGGCACTGAAACAGAAAAGATAGTTTTGGCTAGCCTCTGGTGTTACCGACCAGAGGTCAAAACCACCTCACTTGCTGGAGCTTAGAGATGCACAGGCACCAGTAATTTGAACCCATTTAGTCACTAGTTACAATCATGCAGGGATAAACAGTGTTTTGCTTTTAGAAATGTTTATCATTGTATGTAAAAATACATATTTATCTAATTTCTGCTTATCATTTATTTACATGTATTTGGTTGGACTTTCACTGACACTGTTAAAGTCATATGGTGACTGTCCCACTTTACCGGCGGAAGACATCAGATTTGCCTTTATGCATTTTTTCAATTACAAAGGGGCAGATGAGAAGAACATTCCCACAAGCTGGCTGGATACCTTCCTTATACAAAAGTAGATTTAGTTCCAAGCATGATTCATACACACAGTCATGAGGGACAAGAGGTTTGAAGCCACCAAAATTAACCACTTGGCAACCGGAGAACGAGGTCTATGCTCATAACCTTTTTATGTGGTTTTTAATCAGAGGTAGTCTTTAAATGCAAGTTTGTCTGTATTTTGTAATGATCTGATACAAGTCAGAATACCTCTTCTCCCTGTTGGTTCAGAATATCACATAGAGCCTCCCCCGCCTCGTCATTGTTAGGGTCAAGGTCAAATGCTTTCTGGTAACATTTACGTGACCTTGAACTGTCGTCTGCTTCCTGACTGTAGTAATGACCTAGATACAGGAATGTCTCACAGTTGTAAGGATCTTGTTTAGCTGCCTAGAAAAATAAACAAACAAACAAAATTTGTCACAAAATTTTTCTTTGAAAAAATTTATGAACTCTAGAGGTTTTTGCATTCTGAGGATCACTTTTCGACAGGAAGAAAATAATTTGTACATATATGTATATTGAGGTTGTTATCAACTCACATTATACTGTAGGACAGATTATTTAATTCAATTCTGAATCTTAAGTAATCAATACAGTTGACATATAAATAGAAAAGGTCATGACCCATTAACCTTGAACTGGGAGGCAACTGTCATTAATACTAGGCTACGGCTTTTATTATAACAGTCTATTTAAAACTAAGAAAGACACTGGTTTCATTACATCAAGTTATTCAAAAGTCTGACAAGTTGTACATAAAGAAATACACCTAACCTTTAATAATATAGTGAAACATTCTTGTTTTCTGTCTTCAGTTTTCCACAAACATTTAGCAAGATTCACCTGGTGACTGACAGTTTCTGGTTCAATTTTTACAGCTTTCTCAAACCTGAACATCATGAAATATATAAACTGTTAAATTTACTTAGTCTTCTTAAATGAATCGAAGCAAATAATACATAGAAGGTGAAATCAACTTTACTGATATTAGACATTAAATGTAGCTGAAATAATATTTCAAATTTATTTAATGTAATAAAAATTTTCAAAACCAAAGAACTATTCCTTTGCACAAACAATCTGATCTGAAAAATACTGTATTACTGGACTTTATTGTGATGTAGTAACAAACACTGGCCTTTATGGCTGAGTGGAAAAGGTGAGTGTTTGCCCACTAACTCTTTAGGCTATAATCCTGAGATGTGGTCTTTCTGACTGTCGGACTGTCTACCATGACTGGTAAAAATTAGAAGGTCAGATAATTATATCTGTATTGGTTGCCGGACGATTGCTAAAAATTCCATGTGTTCCGTGGTTTATGGAATCCCTCATGTCAAACATGTGTGACATAGATATATCATTAATCTCTATGCATAAAATTTCCAAATCTGTGTCAATACAATGTAATGAATTATTCATATCAGCATGTGTAAGACAGGCATTGTGTCATAAGTCAATTTTTGTTGTTTGACTTTAAGTTAATATCTAATATCAAATAAATATCTACATAAAAGGGGACCGATGGCCTAGTGGTTAAGGTGGTTGCCTCTTAACCCAGAGATCATGGGTTTGAGCCCTAATTGGGTCACGACCATGTTTCTTCATATGACACCAGTACTGGTTAGTTCCAGTACAATCTAGGTTAAATTAATATGTTTGAATCTACATATTGCATACTGATTGACCTCAGGTATATCATTACACAAGATAGAAAGTATCAATATATGACATTAACAATGAAAATACTGTTATAGTATACCTGTCTGCGGCCTCAGTGAATCTATGTTCCTGCAGGGCGATCAGACCTTCCAGGACAACTCTCTGAACACTCTCCCCAACTATACATGTCTGTAAGTTTATTTTACTTATATAAATTATATTATTCAAGAAAAACAATAAAAGTGGAACAAACAATCAAAACAGGATAAGTTTTAAGGTTTATTTAATGATGATAACCTTAATAATTATATTATTCTATACTTTATGTCCATATCAACATATACATGTACCAGTACTTATACTTTGTATTTGTAGAAAAAATTAATTTACATTAAAGTGACATTATGCACATTTTTTTATGTCAAGTTGAGTTGAATAAATAATATATTTCAAAAAATTGACTCTTAAAATGGTGAAAGGCCAATTAATTGATAATGAAAATTTATAAAACCATGTATAAACAGCCTTAATTATAAAACGACTACCCCACTTTTTTTAAAAAATTGAACATTTCTAAGAAATATTCATAGGAATTTTCATTGGTCAAGTGGATTATTGATCACTTTTTCATAGTAAAATATACTATACACCAAGAGAAATGAGTTTCTGGTAAAATAAGGGCAAAGTCCCATACTTGCAAACCAGCACAAAATAACTTGCATAACTACATCAGTAGACATGTGTAAACTTTTCATCCTAATCTAGTTGGACCCACATGCATCTTAGATCTACTTACAGCCAGGAAAGCTATGAAGTTAAAATCAAACAAAAAATCAGACAAAAAAAACAACATCAACATACCTTTGCTATGTCTATCTCTCCTTGCTTTAAATGTATATGTCCCTTCAAAAGAGATACAGTTTCTGCACTTATATCAAGTTCCTGTTATAAATTCAAAAATAAAGAAATTTGCTTTAGGAATGTTTTCATTTTCATTAATTGGATAAAAATTGACTCCCAACATAGTAATTTTGTATTAATCTATTATTTACATTTTGGCCACAGTCTTCTTCAGAATAATAATCCTGTTTTATCTTATCAGTAAGAGATCACAAGAAAACAGATGAATTTTCAAATCAAAACTCACAAAACATTAAAGATTGAAATTTACAACAGTTCAAAATCAACATTACTCTTGAAGGCCTGTTTATGCTTATTTATCCATTCTTTTACATAATACATTCATTTTTTAATCATCAACATACACTTTATTTTATACATTAGAAAAATATGCATGGCTTTACATAAAATGTAGTTATTTTTTGATGAGTGTTTTATGGAAGACTTACTGGTAAATGTGGATGTCAATAAGAAAATGTGAAATGTTATACAATAGGGCTTTTTGTTGTTTGTTTTATTAGAAAAGAATGGTTAAAAAATGGTTTTCTGATCTAATCATTGATATTTGATAAGACAAAATCACTTCAAGTCTATGAAAATTTCTGTATTACAAATATCTTACATTCTCTATTGTATCCAAGGCAACAGAAAGTGACAGTTTGTCCCCGACAGCAACAAGGGAAGTCACTCTCAACAGATGAAAGCTTCTAGATATTTCCGTACTAGGCCTGGTCAAAATGCGATTCTTTCTTTGTAGTAATTTAAGCCCTATAAATCCAAGGAGCACAATTTAAACAAGAGCTGTCGGTAGGACAGCAACGCTCGACTATTCTAGTGCTTGATAGTAAAAAATAATGCTTGATACAGTTACCTACTCCTGTTTACAGGTTGGGGTCATGATGGTGAACAAGTGTGCAAAGTTTCAAAGCCATATGTCAATGGACTTTGAAAATATTTGAACTATTACAAAAACTTTAACGTAAATTCTAAGTCGAAAAAGGGGCAAAATTCTGTCAAAATGCTTGATAGAGTTACCTCCTCCTGTCTACAGGTTGGTGTCATGATGGTGAACAAGTGTGCAAAGTTTCAAAGCCATATGTCAATGGACTTTGAAAATATTTGAACTATTACAAAAACTTTAACGTAAATTCTAAGTCGAAAAAGGGGCATAATTCTGTCAAAATGCTTGATACAGTTACCTCCTCCTGTCTACAGGTTGGGGTCATGATGGTGAACAAGTGTGCAAAGTTTCAAAGCCATATGTCAATGGACTTTGAAAATATTTGAACTATTACAAAAACTTTAACATAAATTCTAAGTTGAAAAAGGGGCATAATTCTGTCAAAATGCTTGATAGAGTTACCTCCTCCTGTCTACAGGTTGGGGTCATGATGGTGAACAAGTGTGCAAAGGTTCAAAGCCATATGTCAATGGACTTTGGAAATATTTGAGGTATTACAAAAATTTTAACGTAAATTCTAAGTTGAAAAAAGGCATAATTCTATCAAAATGCTTAATAGAGTTACCTCCTACTGTCTACAGGTTGGGGTCATGATGGTGAACAAGTGTGCAAAGTTTCAAAGCCATATGTCAATGGACTTTGAAAATATTTGAACTATTACAAAAACTTAAACATAAATTTTAAGTTGAAAAAGGGGCATAATTCTGTCAAAATGCTTGATAGAGTTACCTCCTCCTGTCTACAAGTTGGGGTCATGATGGTGAATAAGAGTGCAAAGTTTCAAAGCCCTATGTAAATGGACTTTGAAAATATTTGAACTTTTACAAAAACTTTAACATAAGTGGTTACGCCGACGCCGACGCTCGGGTGACTACAATAGCTCTACTTATTCTTATCGAATAGTCGAGCTAAAAATTTGCAAAAACTGTTAACTAATAAATCTGTACAGGTATATTATAACAATGTCATTTATGAATTTCCATCTCTTTTTTTTAAATATTTTTTTTTACAGTATTTCCTTTTTTGATTCTTGTTTTTAATTAGTGAAAAAATAACTTACCATGTTCACAATGGATCAAAACTTCATCATATCTATGTAAATGCTGGCAGGTCACTGCTTGGAAATATGGTAAACAAACCATCATACAGCTGTCTGGCACTGAAATAAAACAGCATAATTATAAACCCATATACTGCTGAATTCATAGTGGACTTGTCCTGCTTTGAATTTAGAATTGCCCATTTCTTGTTTCTGGGTCTGGGATGTTAATATCAAAACAATTAAGCAGCCAACAGCGTATGTCTTTCTTTTTTTAATTTTTTTATTTATTTGTGTTTCTTGTCGCCACAACACATCTAGGTCAGATGACGACTTTCCAGCTTTACTGGTGGAGGCAAAGCTCAGGTGCCTCTTTGTGCATTATATCATTTACTCTTTATTGTGAACTGTTTCACGCATGGAGTCACACTTGAGTAAAACCAATGACCTTCCATAAGCTCACTGGATAGCCTTAACGCAACTTAAACAAAAGTCCCTACTATAGTAGTATTTAAACCCAAAGTGGTAAGGGCAAAAAGTAAAACAACAACCTTAAGTTAACAAGTTGGTCAAAAAGACCCTAGTGAAATTGTCTAAATATGTGCTCATTGGTGACTAATAATGCATGTAGTCTAAAGAGCTTTTTTAGTCACAACTAAGTTTACACAACTATGTTTACACCACACTGAAGTACATTGTTTATAAAAAATAAATCTGAAACCATTATCAATTTCTTTCTTATTTGAAATAAAATTTGGCCTAAATAATTACCTGTAAAAATTCAAAATTTGGACACATTTACCTTGTTTAAATATATTTCTAGCATTATTGTTTTCCTTCCTACAAAGAGCTACAAAACCTTGTGCAATCAGAGATATGTCTGTGTCACTGTCTCCTGTCTTACTCTGGTATAACTTTAATTTCTCCTCAACTTCCTCACATGTACACAACTTCTCCTCACCTACACAAGTTATAATAAAACAATATCAAGATATATAAAGGTGGAAATGGCTTACCCCTGAAATCTGAAGGGTAAACTACAAACACTCAACCCCTAAGGCAGATGAGTGCTATGTCACAAAAAGAATTTATCTCCATTTGAAAAAACATCAGTTGCTTTAAATTCTAAACAAATTACAATAATGCAAAACAATTCAAATCTTTAAATCTTGTAAATAACTTACGCAAACATAACAAAATTTCTTCAGTATTTCTTTTTGTCTATAACCAGGATTGCATTGATAGTGATTAATGGCTTTATAATTTCAGCAGGACATTTGCATTATTTCATTTTATTACCAAAGAAGGATAAAAATAGTTTATCTAGCACAACAAACTGCTATTTAAGGAATAGATAATCAGTTAACCCACAAAGCACAAGCTAATATTACATAAGTTATATTTGAAAAATTCCAAATTGAAAATTCTTACTTTCTTAGAAAATTGAAAACAAAACCTACCTATAAGTGAATCCAGCAAGATAATGACAGAATACCCTAAAACAGATGATGAGTCTGGGAACTTCTTGTACAGCACTGAGCATATTTTGTTTATTTCTGTAGGGTTTTTCTGGAATGACAAAACAAGAAAATTGAAAAAGTAGATTTAATTCATGTAAATTAAAATAGATTATAATAATCACCTCCTCTGACAAGACAGAGGTAATCAATTTTCTGTATTAAGGTCCTAACCCACACACAGTTGTTTATGATTTTCAAAAAAACAAAACAAAAAAAACTTTCAATAGTAACCTCTATTTTTTTCTTTGGTTGACTTAACTGATGGAAGGAAGACTCCAGGTTCTGTGCATGTTCTTAGGCACATAGAGGCACCTGAGTAGAACCACTGATATTCCATAAGACAGCTGGATAGCTTCCTGACATGAAAGACTCTGAAGTCCAAGATGTGATACGAACCCACAACAGTGAAGGGCATTTGGTTTCAAGTAAACAACCTTGACAACTTGTTTCTAGATAAAAATAAATTATTATAATACACTATATAAAATCGTGATCAAAAGGGGGTAAAGATAAACTGGTTTATCACATAATCTGTTGCGCAGGAGTGTGATAAAGCCATTTAATAAAAAGGATATCACACTAGTGTGATAACACTTTGACGTGACGTCATTTGCGCTATATAGAAACATAGCGTTAAAGCGCGCCAATGTAAGCATTACACCATAAGCGCATTATGAAAAATTACTCATTTTAACAGTTTACTGTTCTTATTTTATATATGTGATAAATAGAATATTATATTCGTGTAGATGCAATACTAAATTTATTGAACTTGTTGAATAAAACAATATTATGCTTGCCAGAGGCTCACATAATATGATTTTATTCAACTCGTTCAATAAATTTAGTATAAACTACACTCATTCAATATCCTCTTTATATATGGGAGTAATTAAAAAATCTCAAAATCACGCTCAGACAATGTTACATTTGCGTCTATAGTCTGTCCCATTAAAAATGGAAATGAACTTTTGCCTGGTATGAATTAATAAAAACACGTTGAATAAAAATTAAAACTTTTTTGTAAACTAAAAAAAAGTCACCCTCGAGATTTTTCAGGATTTTTCTCTAAAGTGTCTAATTTTTTTGTAAAAGCAAAGTTTCATTTCTCTACGGCAAATCTCTGTTGTTTATTTTCCGTAGCCATTGCCGAAGTACTCTTCATTTGAAGATGAACGGGAGAAAGCACGTGTCATGTTTCTAAAATGTACATGATGTTCTCGGGGTTGTTTCATGATTATTTTACAAAGCTGTATCTACAAGATGTAACAGTTTCGTTGCAATGCATGATAGAAAACTTTAAAAAATGAATAACAAGCAACAACTTGAACAAGATCATCGAGTCTGTGGAGTAGATCTAGAAATAGCACTTACTTTTAAGCTGAATAGAATCCCTATGAGTTTCGAAATAGATCTTTATAAACGTCACGACAAATTCGCATTCTGAAGATCACTTCATTGCCAGTTTATATCCAGTTCCGTAGACTTTGAAACTCCTGAATGGCATGACATTTACACTTATGATGATCCAGATTTTTTCATAATCCGTCTCATTATTAAAACATTGTTCCATTTGTGCAGATATCTGGGTTAGCAAATGAAATATGTAAATGAAACACATCATAATCCAGTATGTTCCAAATCCATAATTCAAGAACGGCCCATAAATTTAGTTCGACAGCACAATGTTTATAACTATTAAAAATGGATTCCTGACGAAAAAACATTATTACGTCACCAATAATTTACGAAATATATGACGTAACAAAAATGCCTCGCGCTTTTTATGGATGATTCCAGTTGCGGCATTGGCAGAGGGCGGTTAGGCATATGTAACCTCATAAAGATAATTTTAAGCGAGATAAATTTGTCTTGATGGCATTTAAAATAATTTTTGTATACAGTACCCAGATTTTGCAGTAATTGTTAAAAGTACACCTTCAATTCATATATTAACAATAAAACTTTTGATAACATTTAAATAATTTTAAACACACTTAATGGCATGAATCTATATGACAGAATACAGGTCTTCCATTAATTCACATATAACCTTCGTTTTGACTTTATGTTTTTAAACTATTTTATATTTTTCTCAGAAATAATTTCCCTACAAATTATCACGTTATTCAAGAGTTCTGTAAATCCTACTCTTTTAGCTACAAAATATACCCTATGCGGTGTTATTTTCTCTCGCAAAAAAGTATAGCTATTGTTTTTTCACTGAATATTTTCAAATTTTAGGAAGGCTATAATTATTAAGGACATCACTCTGTGTTTCTCTTTGACTCGATATCCCCTTCATATTAACATAGTATGTAACACTTTGAGTCTACAAAAAAAAACACTTATTGTCCCTGATTAAACGCTCCAATTCAATCTTATTCTTAATAATATCAAACACTGCCGGTATTTCTGGACATTTTGTTAAATTATGAGACGGAAAATTAATCTGTATTTACAAGCTTAAAGTGTATAGGCCAACGTTTGGTTGCTCAAACTAGAAAGCATTTTTATATTCTAATAATTTACATTGTTCCTCGCACGCGAGTTTGTGTTCTCTCATTAGCAAATGAGCTAGTTAAAGTAGACACTGTGCAAAACAATACTAAACATATAGTGAATCAGTTCCTTTTTATATATTTCTTGTCAGATTTGCATGCTAATGTTATATTTGTTGGCGATTTATATACGTCAGGTTTCTGTTGTGAAAGTTAAAACCTACGAAAAGTTTTAACGCACGAACATCGCACCCGAAATAAGAAGGGTAACATATTTTTGTATCCCATCGGACCTGGTTAATTTAATTATTTTTAAATAGACGTGATACATACTAATGGACAGTATTCAGACAACTACAGAATTATGTTAATTAAACATTAGCGAAGAACCATTTTTTCAGTCTTCTAGCTAACTGTTCCCGTTCCCTTACGACGCGTTGCGGTATTCAACATACGCGCTTGATTGAAAAGCTATCAAATCAAATCACTTCATAATATTGCTCTTTTTCTCTTAAAAAGAATATAAAATATGGTAATTATATAATTATGTAAATCTTTGTGTGTTATAATTTATCAAGCGGATCAGTAAGTAAATAAGAATAATCAATTTTTTATAATTACCGAGTACATTTCTCCGAGTACATAATTGTGAGACGAACCCTAAATGACGTCTGTATGGGCGCCGCCATTTTGAAATGGACGTCACGTCAGGTTACAACGTAAGTCAATGGGAAAAAATATAATTTTAACATTTTGACCATATTACTGACTTTATGGAAAAAATGAAAAACATGCCTAGAGATATTGATGTCAGGATTAACAAGACATTAATTTAAATGATTTCACTATTATATTTAATAAAAAATGGAATGTTCAAATTTGGTGGGACAGACTATAGTGCCAACTCAATATTTGGTTAAGAAAGGCTCACCTTGACAACTAGAGAGAGATATAATGAAATAATCTCCTCTAAACTATCATCATAAGTCTCTGTAGCATCTATTACTTCCTTGGCTATTTCTTGTAACTGAAAAATAGTTGAATCACACATTAAATACTACATGTAATAATATACTAGTTTATTACCCTTCCAGATTTTTTCCGCCTTTTTGATTGGATATTGATCACCCGAAAGAAATTGATATAACCGAGCCAGACGGGTAATATACACACTAAATTTCCCCGTTGGGTACCAACATGCGCTGTGGCAATGCGCGTACGGTTTGATTTTACGCGATGTAAATTCCGATTTACAAGCACTTTTTAACTGTTAAAAGATAAATATTTACCAAAATAGAGAAATCATACATATTGTCATAAGTATTAAAAACAAATATGACCTTGTGAAAGCTTGATATTAATTCCAAAAAAGTGCGTTCAACAAACTACTCCTTTTCTCTTGTTTACATTGGTTAGATTCGAAAGAAAATACGTCATGTATTTATGTGACGTCATGTCGTGATGAAGGGGTACCCTAAAGGGAATCTTATTTCGACGTTTCATTTGATGTAGCAATGATTTATTTTAAAATCGTGTTAACTCGGCAGGGAAAGGGTAATAAAATTATTATTTTGGTTTTGGAGTGATATATGTGGATATATTACCTGCCAAGATAAAATATCACCCTCGCCTAAAGGCTCGGGTGATATAAAATCTTAGCAGGTAATATATCCACATATATCACTCCAAAACCAAAATAACATAAAATGTTTATGAGAATGAAGTTACAATGTGTTTAAAGCAACACGCTTCCAGACTGGGCCATATTATTCTACTTCTGCAAACATTGTACTGCTTCGACACTGTAGTGAGTTAAATTCCCTGCTTTTAAGCTGTCTGTAATCTGTAGATTATTTCTGTCTGTTTTCTTTATTTTTTTTATTATCTCCATGTGAATGTCAGAATTATATATTAACTCTTTATTAATGATGCAGGATTTTATTAGTCCATTAATTGGCTATGTTTGCATATATAAAAACCGATCCTTACATGTAAGCAAAGTTCAACAGTATTCAATTAAAATAAAAAAAGACATGCAAAGAATGAAAAAACTGCAACAACAGCCTTTTATTTTTTGCTTGTTTCAGCTAAAAATTTTGTCAATACTTCCTACTCCATTTAAAATACAATGCCATAAAAATTAGAAAACAAAATTTCAACAAACTTCATTGTTCTTGTCTTCTACATTAGTCAACTTCAGTATTGGGATGAAGACTACTTGCAGCTCTGTTTTCTTTTGTACATCTGGCTCTTCTTTTATTGTATCTCTGTATATTACAACAACCTAAAATGACAAAATACAAGTTTTTTTTGTTTTTTTTTATACAGTATAGCCTTTGCAGAGCAACACCTTTTGGGTAGTAAAAAGTTTTGATCATTGCTGAGAGGTGTAGCTCTAGAGAGAAGAGTTTCTATATATATATAGCAAAATATAACTGTAAGTAATGCCTAAAACTGCTGCTGCTATTGTTGTTGCTGTTGAAAGGAAGTAATTGCTCTTAATGCAAAGATAATATATTTGAGTCACAATCATGTTTTTTTCTTTAAACCAGTACTTTTCAGTTACATTAAGAAGAATTTAGAGTCATTGAAATAAGCTACAAATCTCCTTCACAAGTGAGCTCAAATAAATTTATATGTTTAAATTAATTCCCTTCTTGTAATTCTTACCTCTTTTTAGCAAAGTACTTTTTGTGATACTTAAAGATCCTGTAACACAATTTTTTCATGGTTTTATTTCATAAATATAATGCTCAAATTAAGATTTGTCAATATTGTAAATTCCAATAAGCATTCTTTATAAAGATATTACCCCATTTAACATTTCATGTAAATAAAGGGAGGTAATTAGAAATTTATTTTCTATAAATTCTAAGTCAAATTTTCGAATAAGAAATGAATGCATGTAATTTATTGATTAAATATAATGTGCACAAATTTTTGCAGTACACATTTTACATATTCTTTGATGTTTGAAAATTGTTTTATTTGCATTAATATATACATATGTAATTTTTTGCAAGTGTGGTATACACACAAGGGGGCCTCCGTGGCCGAGTGGTTAAAGTCGTTGACTTGAGATCACAGGTCCCTCACCACTGTAGGTTCGATCCTCACTCGGGTCGAAATCTTTCATGTGAGGAAGCCATCCAGCTGGCTTACGGAAGGTCGGTGGTTCTACCCAGGTGCCCGCTCGTGCCTGAAATAATGCCCGGAGGGGCACCTGGGGTCTTCCTCCACCAATAAAGCTGGAAAAAAATCGACGAAAAATCTCGGCGGGACGCTCTAGGATGGCCCGACTTGAGTGTACGGTCGCCCATATGGGCTTTCCGGCGGCCACCTTAAATAAACGCAATTAAAAAAAAAAAAAAATATACACACAGTAACAATATCAATCACGAAACATACATGATTCAACTTGGGACTTAAGGAATAATGTTCTGCAGCCCTAATGACTGACCTACCCTGCCACCTGCTACCCTGCCACTTTTACACATTTTCTCTCCATTTTCAAATGTCACAGAATGACAAAAATTAATAGGCTGACTGGGACTCAAACCCAGGACCATTGCAATTCTGCTCCTCAGCTCTAACGACTGAATTTCTCAACCTCTGACACATTTTCTCTTCAACTAGAGACCAGTTTCTATTATATTACAAAATAATAATTAGATACCTTTTCAAGCTTGGTACTGTTGGTGTTGCTATCCACTAACTTTCCAAGTTTCAACACAATGTCAACTCTCTTGTCCCTATCATTGAAAAATTATACAAAACAGTTCATAAAATAATATTTCTAAAAAAAAAAAAATTCCACATATTTCTCTTAAAAGCTCAAATGATCTTTTTTCTCAGCAAGTTTATTCATATCTGTACCATTTTATGCAAAAATATTGGGATTTTGACTAAGAAATAAAGCTGGAAATTTGTCATTTTTTGTTGCCTAATAACATTTATGCTTAGTTTTATCAACAAGAGGGCCATGATGGCCTTGAAATCACTCACCTATATAAAGCCCCCCGAAAGAAAATCAATGATCCTTGGTGTGGGGCCAATTATAAACCAAGGGCCCTTATTTGAACAAAAATGGTAGATATCCATTAAAAGATGTTTCATGCTAAATATCTTAGCTCAAGCTCTTAGGTTTTTCTAAAAGAAGATTTTTGAAGTTTTTACTATAAACATAAAGGGAAAAACAATGACTTCCTTGAGCAGGGTCAATTTTGACCCTAAGGCTTTTATTTGAACAAACTCGGTAGACACCCACTAGAAGATGTTTCATGCTTAATATCTAAGCTCTAGCTATTTGGGCTTTTTGAAAGAAGATTTTTTTAAGTTTTTACTATATACAATTAGGAAAATCAATGACCCCCCGGGGTCGGGAGGGCATTTATTTGAACAAACTTGGTAGACACTGACTAGATGACGTTTTATGCCAAATATTTTAGCTCTATCTCTTTAGGTTTTCTAAAAGAAGATACAAATGTACTTTAAGTTTTTTTCTTTTGGTTGCCATGGCAACCAGATTTATTCTTGGAATTAAATTCTTTGAACAATTTTTAAAATTGCCTACCAAAGGAACATTCCTGTGAAGTTTAGATAAAATTGGCTAAGCAGTTTATGAGGAGATGTCTTTTATAGTAAAAGTTTACTGACGTCAGACGGATAAAAAATGATCACAAAAACTCACCATGGTGTGCTAAAAAGTTGACGATGGACGCACTGACAGACGATGGATGCCCACAAAAGCTTACCTTGAGCACTTTGTGTATAAATATTAAAATCAGGTATGAAATACTCTTTAAAGCATCATGTGTACAGTTATAAGTTTAATCTTAATAAAATACTGTTTACACTGGATTTATATTAGCCAATAACCTGCTGAACTTCCACCGTATTTAAATACTGTTTGACTGATTTAAAAACGGTCCTTTTAATATCATTTTCATAAATCAGGACTTTATATTCTGAAAAGTTATAATACTGATTGAAAACCACAATTTTTAAATTTTCTCATACACTAACACACTTTATTAACTGAAATAAACAACTGATAACTCAATGGTTTAAACTTGTAAATTTGTTATCTTATCAGTGATGGAAGTTCAAAAATAAAAACGACCAAACTCCACATATCCAATATCAACAGCAAAACATTTCAGTTTAAAAACTGTGAAACAATTTGAGGAATACTTTTTTTCCAAGGTACTTTATTTCAATTTAATTTCTAAATGTCTTCTAAAGGCAACAGCATTATTATCTTATTAATATGCTTTTTTAAAAAAAGGAAGTTAAATATATCTTGATACACAAAAATTTGATAAAACTTCTGGACTTTTTTTTCATGCCTTTTAATTATTTTTATATTTGTAACAAGACTTGTCTGTGGACGGTTAGAGCAATCTACTTTACTCAGTGCTATATAATTCAATAAAATCAACAGAAATATATAGAGTATAATTCTGCAAATGTGATTTAAGCAGATTTACCTGCCCAAGCTTGATAGTCTACTAGAATTTCAAGTTTAAAGTGAATACATTGTTTTGGTTATAAAATAATTTTAGGATTATCTGCCCTTTTGAAAAGTAATATTGAATTTTCATGACAATAAACAAGTAACCAAGTTTGAAGAGAATAATAAGCTATTATATTTTTTGAAAGGTTAACCAATGTCCACATTAATGTAAATGCTTACAAGAGGGTTTCACGTTATAACATTGCATATTTTGTTATTATGTTCATCTGTTTTGCATGGGTGGATACTTTAAAGTGAAATAAAGTATTATTCATTCTTCATATCTAAATATTAAAATTATGTTTGAAATACACTTTTAAGAATCAGATGTACAGTTTTAAGTTAACAAGAGCTGGTTCAACACAGTGATGCCCCCCCCATTGATTTTGGTCACAGAGGAGTAGTTTCTTTTTGATATCTCTTGCAGTTTCAGAGCAATCTAGTGAAAGTCATCTGCAAAATTAGCATTATGATCTAACATTCACCCATAGGCAGTCACCTTCTTGTGGTCTTTCAAACAACCAATCATCAGCCAGCTTTCATTATTTTGAAAGCCATGTGGTTTCTAATTTTAACCCTTGGAGAACCAATACTGAGATGGTAATTTTCACGATTTCAAGAACAAACATGACATTGTCCATATAGCTGACAGGTAAACTGGCAAAACAGTCTTGTCAATTAAAAATTGACTCTATTATTTCAAGTTTATTTATTACTTCAAACATATTTTTCTAACAAAAATCAACAATTTGAATAACTTCGACGGATAACGGTACTTTGATACTTCTTCTAATGCCTATCTGTAAAAACAGGTTTGATTGCATGGCTGAAAATAGCTTTCTCTGGAAATCCAAATTATTAAGAAGGCGAAACATACACAGTCTTCATCAAATCTACATGGAAGAAATAAGTAGATCTGAACTTTAGTCAGATTGAGTTACAGAGTTATGTCCTGGAAAAAGTGTGATTTTTTTTTTTAAAATGGCAATTACTCAAAAATAGGAACAACAGAGTTACAGTTGGGGCCTATGCGTTCTAGAATTATTGGTTGGAAACCATTTTGGCATCAATGTTACCTTGACCTTTTAGATTTTAGACCTTTTAGATTTTGACCCAAAAATCAAAGAGGTCATGAAGTGACCAAGACAACTGCTTCTATGAAGTTTGAGTGCCAAGGGCCCATTGGTTGTCCAGCTATTAGTCGAAAACCATTTTGACAAGAAGTCTACATTGATTTAGGATAAAAAAAAGTAGTTTTCTTTTTAATTTTGTCCTTTTTACCGATATGAAAAGTAAATAAAACTGATTATGTAATGGTATGAAGAGGTGGTTAGTAAGCGTGCATTAAACAAAGAAATATAAACAGAACTATCAACATGGACAATGTTTTAAAATACAAGGTCACAGTTACCTTAACCTTTGACCTCTCAGCCTGAAAATCATAACGAATCAAGACTGATGCACATGTGAAATTTGAGGGCCAAGAGCCTAAAGGTTGTGAAGTTATTAGTCAGAAACCAAGAGCCCCTTTATTGTCAAATTATTAGTCAAAAACTGTTTTGACAGCAGTCGATTTGACCTTAACCTTTAGCCCTGCACCTCGAACATCAAAAGCCGTCAAATTAGAAATTAATTAGACTTTTCCATTGTTTCAAATCATCTATGAATCTCAAGTTTTATGTACTCACTGAAGGACATTTGAAAAACATGCAATATATAGAAATGTTTTTTTCTAAAAATTTTTAGGTAAAACATGGCAGTCTCAGGAAAAAGAGCATCAAAACAATTTTCTTCATCAACAACATCCATGGCATCAGATGAAGATCTTCAAGTTTACTGCCAGCCTTGTGACGAGGAAGGAACTAGACTCCCTGCCCATGGTTACTGCACTGACTGCAAGGAACACCTTTGCAACACATGCTTTACAGCCCATAGGGTAAACAAGTTTACCAAAAAGCATACACTTCTGGATGCAGCAAGTATGCCTAAAGTTTTGCAGCAACCCTCATCATCCCTTCACACAGGTCTGTCGGATGACTTGACCTTGCCATGTTGTAAACATCCAAAAGAAATTATCAAGTTCTACTGCTGTGATCATACAGAATTTCTCTGCAGTGTTTGTGTTACCCTTGAACATCAAGCTTCATCCTGCAAAGTCAACTATATACCAGATATTTCTGGTGATATAATAGACAGCAAAGAATATCAAGTTATCTTGAATGCATTAAATACCACTTCTGACAAATTTCAACAGATATTAAAAGATGTGAAGAACATGACACACAAATCAAACAGCTCTGTCAAAGATGTCATAGGAGACATTAAAAAGTTTCGGCAAGAAATCAACCAAAGACTAGATGAACTTGAGAGACAGGTTGAAGATGCAGCTAAAGTCATAGAACAAGAAAACAACAAACATCTACAAGCAGTAGAAACAGCATGTGAAGATATAACCAAATCTTTGAAGAAATCATCAGACAAAGTCAAACAGCTCAACAGATCAAAACAAGCTGACAAACTCTTCATTGATTTGAAACTTGCGGAGAAAACAATAAAAGATATGGAGGGAAAACTACTAAAACTCTCATCAAATGATATCAAAGAGCACAACTTTCAATCAAATGATGTAATGTTAAATTTGTTTAAAACAGAGAAGTCACTGGGTACACTGACACAGAAAGCTTTAAATACAGAATGTCAACCTGAACAAATAAAGTCTAGACAATCTTCACATGTGGGAAATATCTGTGTGAAGACATTAAAAGATATATGCAGGTGTTGGATAACAGGGATTACTCTGCTGTCTCCTGATCTTCTTGTCATCACTGACTACAATAACAATGCTGTTAAGATGGTGGATACCAGCAGTCAATCTGTGTCTGATCAACTACAACTAGATTCTAGACCATTTGATATCACCAGAGTAACCAGTACTGAACTTGCTGTCACACTTACTGACAAACAAACAATACAGTTTATATCAATCTCATCAAACAAACTCATAAAGAAGCACACTGTGAAGGTTGATGAGGAATGTCATGGTATAAGCTGCTATCAAGGTAAACTTGTTGTGTCATTTCTTAACCCTGCAAAACTTCAGATCTTTGATATGAATGGCACTGTACTGACAACAATTGATGGAAAAAATATTTTCAAATATCCATGGTATATCACATGTAACAGAAGTTCTATCTATGTATCTGACAGGAGCGTGAAGACAGTAACAAGATTAAACTGGCAAGGTGACGTGATAGGTAGTTATAGTGGTATGAGTGATCCTAAAGGAATATCACTGTCAGATGATGGTACTGTCTTTGTGTGTGATAATATGAGAAATGTTATAGAAGAGATATCAGGAGATTGTTCTACAGGAAAGGTGGTGCTGCAGGATCTGAAGAGACCAAGGGCTGTATGTTGGTGTGGAGAAAAAAAGAAGCTGTATTATAGCAGTTATACTGGGGATGCAAAATATGACAACTTCCTTCACATCCATAACCTGTCATAGACTAGAACAGAAACTTAGTTGAATTAAATCAAACAATGTCAGCAGTTTTTCAATATTAAAAAAAAAATTGCGTCATCCATTCTTCTCACTACACATGTTTTAAGTTTTGTCAGAATTTTTTTTTAATGTTAAAATCTTATGTTATGAGTCATTAATGGTTTAAGCAATCCTTTCTTATAAAAGCTTTGGTGAGAAATAAGGAAACCAGTACCAGTCATGCCGGGAATACAAGGAATAACAAGAGCACCTCAAGCATGTTAATGCTTGTTCAAGGCAACAGCTATCAACAAAGGGACATAATTCCTAAAAGGATAATGTCCCTGGTCATACAATTGTGCATTGTGATGATAATCAAGTATTCAAGTTTCATGTTGATATTATTCACAGTTTTGAAATCATTCTACTTAATAAGCAATTTTGACAAAAGTAAAAAAGGGGCATAACTCCAAAAGTATAGCTTTAAGAATAATGCCACTCTAAAAATGCTCGGTGTATCAACTGTGCCTTGATGACAACAACAACAACTACAATTCAGCAATCAAAAAAACCTTGATTTTTTTTCAAAACAGACAAGCTAAAAATGAAAACTTTGTTTGTTTACATTGATAAATTGACTGTAATAGGTTATATCAATAAAACATTTCATCTTTTATTTTACAAGTACATTATGATATGATAAAACTGGTGAGTTTTCTTTTGTAATCATCAAATGCCCTGTTTATATTTTATGTTACAATACCTGCCCTGTTCCCAAGATTTTGTCCTATATATCATTTTATAACACTTATATTTAAACAGATTACATCAATAAATATCATTTTATAGCACTTATATTTAAACAGATTACATCAATAAAATTAAGTATAAGCTGCTTGTTGTTGTTTAATCAATGAGTTAAAATATAAGAATACTACATGTATATGTGTTAAAAGTATCAGTGACTATAGTGGAGATAAATGTAATTGTAAGATAAACAAGAGCGATTAGTGTATTAAATTGCCAGCAATATGCACAACTAGGGAAGGTACTGGTCACTCCTATGAAATTTCATTGACATCCCAAGAGCAGTTTCATCTGAAAAAGTTAGACATGACTTTTCTATTGATAAGGAAAGTGAAGGCAGGGTTCGCGAAGCGGGCCCGAACTTGGCTTGTGCAGCAATAGACCACATGTGTATATTTAAAAGTAAATCAAATAAACCCTGAGATCGCTCACCTGTATATGGGGGGGGGGCAATTTTAACCCAGGGGCTTTTATTTGAACAAACTTGGTTGACACACATTAGAAGATGTTTCATGATAAATATCTAAGCTCTAGCTATTAAGGGGGTTTTACAAGAATTTTTTTAAGATTTTACTATACACATATAGCATGTATAGGGAAAAACAATGACCCCCAACCACAGACGGGGTCAATTTCAACCCAAGGGCTTTTATTTGAACAAACTTGGTAGACACTCACTAGAAGATATTTCATGCTTAGTATCTTAACTCTAGCTCTTTGGGTTTTTTAAGAAGATTTTTTAAGTTTTTACTATACACATATAAGGAAAATCAATGACCCCAGGGCATGGCCAATTTTAACCCCAGGGCCCTTATTTGAACAAACTCGGTTGACACCCATTAGAAGATGTTTCAAGCTTAATATCTAAGCTCTAGCTCTGGGTTTTTTAAAAAAAGATTTTTTAAAGTTTTTATTATATACATATATGGAAAAACAATGACCCCCTGGGGCGAAGCCAGTTTTGACCCCAGGGCTTTTATTTGAACAAACTTGGTAGAGACTCACTAAAATATGTTTCATGCCAAATATCTAAGCTCTAGCTCTTTTGCTTTTTTGAGAAGAAGATACTTTAAGTTTTTTCTTTTGGTTGCCATGGCAACCAGAGTTCTGCATGGAATTAAATTCTTTGAACAATTTGTAAAGGTGACCACCAAAGGAACATTCCTGTGAAGTTTGGATGAAATTGGCTAAGCGGTTTATGAGGAGATGTCATTTAAAGTAAAAGTTTACGGACGACCAGGCGGCCGGACGCCGGACGAAAAGCGATCACAAAAGCTCACCATGTCACTTTGTGACAGGTGAGCTAAAAAGTTGACGATCGACGCACTGACAGACGATGGATGCCCACAAAAGCTTACATTGAGCACTTTGTGTATAAATATTAAAATCAGGTATGAAATACTCTTTAAAGCATCATGTGTACAGTTATAAGTTTAATCTTAATAAAATACTGTTTACACTGGATTTATATTCGCCAATAACCTGCTGAATTTCCACCGTATTTAAATACTGTTTGACTGATTTAAAAACGGTCCTTTTAATATTATTTTCATAAATCAGGACTTTATATTCTGAAAAGTTATAATACTGATTGAAAACCACAACGCTAATATTCTCATTTTAAATTTTCTCATACACTAAGACACTTCATCAACTAAATAAACAACTGATACAACATGTATCTTACTGGTTTAAACTAGTAAATTTGTTATCAGTATAAGAACGATCAAATTCCACATATCCAAAATCAACAGCAACACATTTCCGTTTAAAAACTGTGAAACAATTTGAGGAATACTTTTTTTTTCAAGGTACTTTATTTCTATTTAATTTCTAAATGTCTACAAAAAATGACTGTCTTCTAAAGGCAACACATTATTATCTTATTATTATGCTTTTTAAAAAAAGGAAGTTAAATATATATTGATACACAAAAATTTGATAAACAAATACAAAATTGTGTATGTTATAACATTGTATAATTTGTTATTCTGTTCATCTGTTTTGCATGGGTGGATACTTTAAAGTGAAATAAAGTATTGTTCATTCTTCATATCTAAATATTAACATTATGTTTGAAATACACTTTTAAGCATCAGATGTACAGTTTTAAGTTAACAATAGCCAGTCGAACACAGTGATGCTCCCCTAAATTGGTTTTGGTCACAGAGGAGTAGTTTCTTGTTGGTATCTCTTGCAGTTTCAGAGCAATCAAATTAAAGTCAGCTGCAAAATTACGGTAGCATTATGATCTTACATTCACCCATAGGCAGTCACCTTCTTGTGGTCTTTCAAACAACCAATCATTGGCAAGCTTTCATTTTTTTGAAAACAATGCAATTTCTAATTTTATCTCTTGGAGAACCAAAAAATATGATAAACAAGATCGACAAGGAAAGGCGGCATTCAATGAACGCAGCCCCCATCCGACCCAGCAACAAGCGTCAGCGGCAAGGAGCCCAGGAGGACTCCATAGAAAAACAGGACAGGGCACAAGGCAGAGTACGGGCAGGCAAACCACTACATCAGAATACATAATTAGTAACTTATAAGGAACTAAAACAAAACATATAAATGATTTAATATAAGGCCCATTAAGTCAAAAGGCACAGGGGAAGGGGACATGAGACACGGGGAAGGGGGGGGGGGCGGGAAATAAAATAAATAAAAACTAGGGACAAGGGAAGATACTTACCGTAGACGAGAAACAACAAGAGACACGAGCAAAAGTGTCACCAAATCAGTATAAAACAACATAGACATACATCTAAGGAACACAGAGGGGCGCCGCCTTGGAACGGTCAGCAGCATAATAATGACTACTGGGGAGTTTAAACCGGTTAATGGTGCACCAAACCTCGCTCTTAGCCCCACCATGTTCCTATAAACGAGACAGTGTAAATAAAATGAATCCCCGCCAAGTGAAATTCTAACAGTTGTTATGGTTACAAAAGGTTAAATAAGTAAAACACCAAAATGATCATGTAGAAACATATAAAAGTAAACCCAATGACCATAACAAAAGTACTCGATGTCTTAAAGGAAGACAGAGCAACAAGAAAATCACCTACAAGGGCCCGACGAAGCAAGACAGAAGACAAACATTAAGGCAATTCAGTCCCAAAGGGCTTTAAGAACTGTCCATCATATAGTCTCCCACTTGGCCCGTCAGATGTAATCAAAAGAGGAAAGCGTAGTGTCCAACTGTAAATGGGTTGAACACTAAGCATGCGGTATGTCTTAAGATAGTAGGGTCATAATCCCTTTTAATAAAACGTTTTATAATTTTAGTAAACACAACAGAAAAATTACAATGACCCAAGATCTTACGAAGTTTGTAAACAACATCACCGTAAAAATCAGGCTGGCTAATCCCTTGTCGCAGAAGTGTTTTTAGATCACTATTGAATTTTGAAATTAAATCAAAGTTACGATTGTAAAATTTTGTAAAATATTTACGTAATTTATAATAGCGGTAGCCCTGTTTTAATAGCTTACTGAGATGGTAATTTTCACGATTTTCAAAACAAACATGACATTGTCCATTGGCTGACAGGTAAACGCTAGCATTAAGATCTAACAGTAACCTTCTCGTGGTCTTTCAAACAACCAATCATCGGCGAGCTTTCATAATTTGAAAGCAATGCGGTCCCTTGGAGATCCAATACTGAGATGGTAATTTTCATGATTTTGAGAACAAACATGAAATTGTCCATATAGCTGACAGGTAAACTGGCAAAACAGTCATGCCAATCAAAAATTGACTCTATTATTTCAAGTTAAAATTACTTCAAACATGTTTTTCTAAAAAAATCAATGAAGTGACCAAGACCAATGCTTCTATGAAGTTTGAGTGCCAAGGGCCCATTGGTTGTCAAGTTATTAGTCAAAAACCATTTTGACAAGAAGTCTACATTGATCTAGGATAAAACAAGAATCTGTGTTTGATAAACACAAATGCCTTCGCGCTGACTGTTGTCAATAATTTAACTTTAGAGAGTGAAATAGCTAATTTGTATGGAAGAAAACCAATCATGTGTAGAAATCTGTAATTGGCACCCTTGACCTTGACCAACTGACCCCTACCTCTATCAAAAGGAAGAATATCATGCAAGTTATTTTCCTACCAAATATGAAATAAATCTGTCAAAAAATAAAGGCTGTATGGGCAAAAGTGTACAAATCTATTTTAGCACTGTTGACCTTGACCCAACTGACCCCTAACTCCATCCAAAGGAAGAATACCATGTAAGTTATCTTCCTACCAAAATTTAATAGAAATCTGTCAATAAATAAATGCTGTATGAGCAAATGTGTAAAAATCTATTTTTAGCACTGGTGACCTTGACCCAACTGACCCATATCTCCATCCAAATGAGAATACCTCAATTTTATGTTCCTACAAAATATACAAGACATCTGCCGATAGAATAAGGTTAATACACCTGTAACAGTGTAAAAAATATATTTTTGACATTGGTGACCTTGACCCAAATGGGTGACCCCTTACTAAAGGAAAAGGCAGAGGACCTCCCTTGGTATGACTATTATAAACATGAAAAACATTAACTTAAAAATAAAGGGTTATGAGCAGAAATGTTTAGATTTATTTTTTTTAACAAAAGTGACCATGACCTTGACCTAAAGACACTTAACTCCACAAAAAACTTAGAGGACCATTAAAGGTACCCACCTACCAAATATGAAAGATATCATTAAATAAATTTAGTAATTAGGTCAAATTCTTTTATAAATCCAACCTGTCGGAATAGGTAAACCATAC